CATGTTGAGCACCATGTTGGGTGTGGAGCCTACTTAATACTACTTAAATAAATAAATAAATAAAATGTATAGCATTAAAAAAACAAAAAATAAATACATAGTTTTTCAAAAAGCCTGTAATTCACTTCTATCTCTGAAGGCTGAAGAGATAAAGATTGAGAGAGAATTAGATTTGAGGCTTGGATGCAGCACCAGCTTGGAGCTCCTCTGTTATCCATACTTGTCTACATCTTTACTTTTCTTATTGTGTGAAGCATTTTACATTTATTTATTTATTTATTTATTTATTTATTTATTTATTTATTTATTTATATTTATTTTATTTATGATAGTCATACAGAGAGAGAGAGAGAGGCAGAGACATAGGCAGAGGGAGAAACAGGCTCCATGCACCGGGAGCCCGACGTGGGATTCGATCCCGCGTCTCCAGGATCGCGCCCTGGGCCAAAGGCAGGCGCCAAACCGCTGCGCCACCCAGGGATCCCTATTTATTTATTTTTAAAGATTTTATTTATTTGAGAGAGCGCGAGAGAGAAAGCATGAGAAGAGAGAGAGGGAGAAGCAGACTCCCCGCCAAGCCGGGAGTCCAATGTTGGGACTCCATCCCAGGACCGGGGGATCATGACCTGACCCGAAGGCCATTGCTTAACTGAGCCCCCCCAGGTGCCCCATGCATTTTACCTTTAGTTTCAATATTTACAGATCTATGGTTTACCAAGTAGAGTTTTTGTTATCCCATGCATTCTCCTATTTTCAGGTTTCTCTGTTTGGAATAGATGCATTATAGTCTATTAAATATTCAAAATGTGTAAGTCATGAAAAGTGAAAGGACTTTCAATAGGAGTTAGTTTTTTTCAGGAGCTTGGAACTAGGTATGCCTGAGAGTTTTATAATGCCGGTACACAGCATTTGCGGTGTGCAGAATGCATGCACATGCATTATCTACCACTTGATCCTTTGCACATTATCTACCACTTGATCCTTTGCACAGGAGTTCCATGTGATTCTTGCTATTCTCAGCTTTGTCCAAGATCTAAAATTAGAAGTAGGCTAACATTACATTTCACTTGGTTACAAGTCTGACGGAGGTTTTTAATCATCTGGAGCCACACTGAAAACAATTCTCCCTGAAATCCTCTTTTAGCTGATAATCACTAACTTTGGGCATGTCAGCTTCTACGTCCACTGACTATGGTAAGTATTTTTCAAAAACATTTTTTCCTCATTCTTCATTAGAAGGATTGCTGAGGATGCCTTTACTGTGTCTGCATTTGCTGGGACGTACAGCTGAATTTGGAATTGAATTAAAAAGTCTTTTGTGGGGTTTCATAGTCATGCTTGTAATTATCTTCCTCTGGAATTTAATTTCCCTAAAAGTTAAGAAGTATTTTTTGTTTTGTTTTGTTTTGTTTTGTTTTGGGGGGTTTTGTGTGTTTCTTGTTTGTTTGCTTGCTTGCTTTTGCCTTTGAAAGCAGACTCTCAAAAAAAAAATAAAAAAAAATAAAAAAAAAAAGAAAGCAGACTCTCTTGGTTATGTCCTTACCAAGCAAAGTGCATTTCTGTTATGATTATAATCAAGGTAGAGAACACAGGCCTATGGTGACGTCAAAAGTGCATATATCATTATTGACTTGTTTTCCTCGAAGGGAAATTGGTTGCTGTCATAGGAAAGTTGATGGCTGAATGAAGTTTAATGGCAAACTGAGGAATCAAATGAGCATACAAATGGTTATAGGTGTTTAAAAAATACACATTTACATGTGGATACTTGGGATTTTTAAAAATGATTTGATAAACATTTAAAACTTGCTAAAATCTGAGACAATAAATTGTAGGTTGACTATGATGTCCTCAGGGGTTTGGATTATCAGCATATGTATGCCAAGGTTTCTTGATGGCAGAAAGATCTTGCAATCCGTTCCTGTGGAAATTATGCACGCATTGCTAAAAAATAGAGACCCTTTCCTAACAATTTTTCTGCATATTGGCAATTATATATCCATCCTAACATTTTAAACCTTTTTGTCCTCTGTAATAGAGTTTTTCTCCCACTCCTCTTTGTTCTCTTATGCACTGCATACTATTAAGGAAATCAGTAATTTAGAAGGGATTAATAATGAAAAGCAATAGTCTCTACCCCATTTCTATCACTCTAGAAGTAAGCATTTAACCAGTTCAGGATTTAGTTTTCAGTGGTTATCTCCATAGTTCTTTTTTTTTTTCCCAAAGGCCGTTATTATTTCTTACCAACTTTAGGAATTATCTATAAAACTTCATTATGAAAGATGATGCCTAAGTCCACTTACACCCCATAGAGTTATATCCTTATTTTTAGTTTCTCCCTTGATCACCTTTATAAAAGACTATAAATAAATGCTTATTACATTTTGTTCTTTAGGCTTAAATAAGTCTTCCTTGCTTTTTAATAGGTTTATTTCAAAAGTAGATTTCTATCACTCAGAAAAAAGAAACTCTGCACCCTTAGCAGTCACTCCCTATTTCCCCCTCTGAAAAGCCCTTGGATATCACTAATCTACTTTTTTTTCTCTGTAAATCTACCTATTCCAGACATTTCATATAAATGGGATCATATGTGATCGTTTGTGTCTGGCTTCTTTCACTTAGCACACTTTCATTCAACATTCATCCATGATGCAGCAAGTGTCAGTACTTATTCTTTTTTGTGGCTGAATAATATTCCATTGTATGGAAATACTACATTTTTGTTTATCCATTTGTCAGTTGACAGCCACTTTTGGGCTACTGTGAATAATGCCACTTCAACATTTAGGTAGAAGTTTTTTTTTAAGTTTTTTTAAGATGTTATTTATTTATTCCTGAGAGACACACACAGAGAGAGAGAGAAGCAGAGAAGCAGAGACACAGGCAGACTCGATCCCTGCTCTCCAGGATCATGCCCTGGGCCAAAGGCAGGCTCTAAACCACTGAGCCACCCAGGGATCCCCTAGGTAGAAGTTTTTGTGTGAACATACGTTTGGGTATAAATCTAGGCATGGATCTTTTTCTCTTTTATACTTTCTATTTTTTCCTATTTTTATGCTAGGCGTGCCTCTTATAAACAATACATAGGATTTTGTCTTTACTTGGACAATCTTTATATATTAACTTGCAGCTTTAGTAATCAGGAAAGTATAGATTTGTGACCATAATGAAATTTTATACAGTAGTTTGTTGATAAGGATGTACATCAATGGGGACCCTTATACAGTTGTAGTAAGAGTATAAATGGGCACAATCACTTTGGAAAACAATTTTGCTCTATCTTATAAATTTGAACATTCACATATATTATGATCCATCAGTTCTAGTCCTAGGTATATACCCAATAGAGGCAATAGCACTTGAGCACCGTGATGATAAGGACAAGAATTTTGGAAACAATATTGTTTGTAATAGCAAAACTTTGCTACCCAAATATCCATGTTCATTGGGACAGAAAAATTATATCATGGCATAGTCATACATTTTAGAGATCGTGGCATATCAGTATATGAAATGTTTTGCTAGGCAGCCCAGGTGGCTCAGCGGTTTAGTGCCACCTTCAGCCCAGGGCCTGATCCTGGAGACCCGGGATCGAGTCCCATGTCGGGCTCCCTGCATGGAGCCTGCTTCTCCCTCTACCTGTGTCTCTGCCTCTCTCTCTCTCTCTGTGTCCCTCATGAATAAATAAATAAATAAATAATCTTTAAAAAAAGGTTTTGCTTTCTTTATGGAGCTATTTAATTTCCCATGATATCGGTGTACTATAATTTACTGATCAAAAATTATATTGTTTCCAATCTTCTGTTGTTATGAAAAACACTGCAATGAATAACTTTATAATACATAATTTTATGATTGAAAAGTATTTGCAGTATAAATTACTAGGACTATGAATATACTTTTATAAGACTGATAGACATTACCAAATTTCTCTCCATAGAGAACAAAATACTACCACCTTTAGTGTATAAGAGTGCCTGTTTCCCTACACTGTTAGAAATTTCACTTCTTCCTTTCCAAACTTTATATCTTTATATTTACTTCCTTTGCCTTGTAGCATTCCAGTATAATGTTGAATAGTTGTGATTGTGGACATCTTTGACTTCCTGAATTTGGGAGGAAATAATTCAATTAACTGTGAATCAAATTCTTCACTATTACTAATACAATCTGATGAAAAATGAGTACAATTATTACAATTATTTGTAAGGCAAAGAACATTCCATAAAATGGATCTACCATAATTTACATAATCATTCCCCTATTTTTATTTTACTTTCTGAGATTCAGATCACCATCCTCAGTATTACATCTGCCCATTTTCAATTTATTTTACAAGAGCAAGTAATCCCAGTTTATTGCCACTTAACTGAATTCCAACCTGTGCATAGCAACTAGACTAAGTAGATATCCCAAAATGCTGGTCTTACATGTACATATCCATTATTTAATCATTTTCATACAACTGGACATGTAAACTAATGGCAGTTTTTCATTACTGTCAATTACATAGTAGCAAAGGAAGTAGATGTGGCTTCACTTTGCACCTCTGCTACATATTAGACATGAGACCTTGAACAAATTGCCCATCTTTAAAGCTTGGTTTTCTCATCTGTATATTACAGACAACAAAAGCACTCATGGCAGAGCACCTGGGAGGCTCAGTCAGTTAACATCTGCCTTCGGCTCAGGTCATGATCTCAGGGTCCTGGGATCAAGCCCCATGTCAGGCTCCCTGCTCATCAGGGAATCTGCTTCTCCTTTGCCCCTCCCCTCTCACTTGCACTGTCTCTCAAGTATATAAATAAAATCTTTTTTAAAAAGCACCCATGGCATAATATTTTTATGAGAATTATTAAGTTAGATGTGATGTGTAAAAGTGTATAAAATAGTTTTGGGAACATGGAAAGTGTTCAATAAATATAAGCTATTATGATCATTTCTGGACCTGATGAACATTTTGAAACACGTTTGTTTGTTTTCTCTTCTACAATTAGGTCCTTTTTGAGATGGCATCTGTGATTCAGCTATTCAGAACTTAATGAAGTTGGTGACTCTATGACCATGTGGAGAAATCATGTCAGAAAATGTAGTTTGTACTGGGGCTGTCAATGCTGTAAAGGAAGTCTGGGAAGAAAGAATAAAAAAACACAATGAAGACCTGAAGCGAGAGAAGGAATTTCAACAGAAGTATGCTTTCATGTGTTTATTATTTGAAATTAGTGAAAATTCAGAACATCATCATTACAGAAAAGAGCACTTGTTAAATGCCTTATTATTGAATTTGATAGATTTTTACTTACTGAAAACTCAAAATATAACTAAAGGATACACCTGATTCAATTAAGTGTGGCTATGTGATGGTGGCCACAAAAGATACAGGTGTCTTTATGTGAAAATAGTAGTTATCTTAGGCCTTCATAAGAGTCTGTTCAGCATTCATAAAGTTTGATTAGTATCATTTAGCCCACTTTTCAGTGATTGCTTATTCAATATTATATCCCCTAGATACTAAAACAACATCTGGCAATAGAAGGTAGTATAGATTCTCACCTATTTGAATACCCATGAATGTCAGCCAGGGCCCCTGTGGATCACCTGATTCCTTGATTTGGGCTATAATTAAATAGTTTGGCTCTCATTTCTTCTGCCTTCTTGAAAGCTACCTGTTTTCCTGATTGGATGTCTTCAAAGCATTCTACTAATCATGCAAGAAGAGCCACTTTCCTCATGGAGCCCTACGATTCTCATTCAACAAGCCTCTTTCTAAATATTAAATTGCCTTTTGTCTTGCAACATATACAAATATTGGACCATTAATGATATTTTATGTCAATCATATCTCAATGGAAAAAAATGCTCTTGTGTCAGCAAGTACCATAAAATTCAACTAAAAATGGCTTCCAGGGGATCCCTGGGTGGCGCAGCAGTTTAGCACCTGCCTTTGGCCCAGGGCACGATCCTGGAGACCCGGGATCGAATCCCACATCGGGCTCCGGGTGCGTGGAGCCTGCTTCTCCCTCTGCCTGTGTCTCTGCCTCTCTCCCTCCCTCCCTCTCTCTCTCTCTCTCTCTCTGTGTGTGACCATCATAAATAAATAAATAAAAATTAAAAAAAAATAAAAATGGCTTACAGAAGGGATGCCTGGATGGCTCAGTGGTTGAGCATCTGCCTTTGGCTCAGGTCATGATCATGGGGTCCTGGGATTGAGTCCCTGTCAAGCTCCCCACAGCAAGTCTGCTTCTCCCTCTGCCTATGTCTTTGCTTCTCTCTGTGTCTCTCATGAATAAATAAAATCTTTTTTTAAATGACTTAAGGAATAGGGAAGTCCTGAGGCAAAGCAATTCCAAAGATTGAACAGCTTTAAAGACTTAGCTTCTTATCACCTTCTACTGCTAATCTCCGTGTGTCAGTTTGGTCCTCAGGTTTGCCTCTGAGTGTCACAGGATGACTGGTACACTTCCAGGCATCACAGCCAGGCATCATTAGGTTATCAGAAGAGTGGAAACTATTTCTGTTTCTTCAAGAATGAGGAAGACTTTCCAGGCACTTTAGCAAACCTCTCCTTCACCTCTCATTGACCAGAACTGGGTGATTTGTACTCCCCCATTCCAGTTTCTTTCTAGGGGAATGACTATATGATTGGTTTAAACAAATTAAGATTTATACCAGGATTACTTGGGGGAAGTATAAATACTTGAAAATATTAAGTATTTCTTAGCAAAGAAGATGGGGGAAAGTTCTTGATCAGGAACTATTTCTGTCTTTAAAACAAAAATCTAGATGGGGAAAGGCCATTTTTCCCAAACAAAGCCAACAAAAAAGGATAATGATGCTGACAATGATGGATAAACAGGCATTTATTGTGCACTTACTGTTTACTAGGCACTCTGCTAAATGCTTTATTTGTACTATCTTATGTAATCTTCTCAACACACTGAAATGGAGTGTCTTGATGAGAATTAGACTGCATTATGAGAAAAGGAAAACCAGGATAACATTTTCTTTTTAAAAAAATTTTTAAGAGATTTATTTAATTATTTGGGGGAGAGGGAGCAAAGAAGAGGGAGAGAGAATCTCAAGCACTGAGTATGGAGCTGGAGGTGGAGCTTCATCTCACGACCCTAAGACATGACCTTAGCTGAAATTAAAAGTCAGACACTTAACTGAGCCACCCAGGTGACCCCAAAATAATATTATCTAAACAAGGTATGTTAACCTTTGTTAGGTATTTGATCTGGGGTTATAGCATTCCACTGAGTCAGATACTGAAGCTTTTATGTTATTGTTCAATTGTGCATGATTTCCATTCCTAAAGTCACCAAATGGCCCCAGATAGATGCACCAACTGCAGCCAACATACTTGATTCCAGCTAGCAGAAGTTGCACAAACTACTACTTTTGCTAACATCCCATTGATATGTAACTACAAGGGAGGATGGCAAAATGAAGTCTTATGCCCAGTTAAAGTAAGAGGATCTATTATTGAGGACGAAGAGGAGTATAGTCTCTGCCACACATGAGTGTTCATTTTCTCCCTTTTAAAGATGGAAAACTGGAGGGAGAGGCCTAAGTAACTTGTCAAAGATCACACTGCTAATAAATGTGGAACTGGAATTCATACCCAAGCAATCTGATTCTGGAGGAATGATATTCACCTCAGGTCTTTCCCTAGATTGGCTGTTATATATTAAGCTACTCTTATGAAATCTAATATGTTTGTATTCTACGATTATGATAAACTTGAGTCTTGAGAACTCTTAGTAAATCCTATCTCTCTTTTAAACAGTGGGCAGGAATCATGACTTGCTTCTAAACTCCTGAACTTCACGTATTATGTTTAGTTAAGAACCATTTAATTGGGGCATCTGAATGGCTCAGTCAGTTGGGCACCTGACTCTTGATTTTGGTTCAAGTGCTGACCTCAGAGTCATGGGATCGAGCCCTTTGTTGGGCTCTGCACTTAGTGGGGAGTCTGCTTGAGATTTTCTCTCTCCCACTCCCTCTGCCTGCCCGCCGCCTGCTTATCTCTCTCTCATAGATGATAGATAGATAGATAGATAGATAGATAGATAGATAGATAGATAGATGATAGATAGATAAAATCTTTTTTTTAAAAAAATAGGAACCATTTAATTTCAGCAGTTTCAAGTTCTCTCTGTACAAAATAGGCAAGGGATAAAAAGGTTAAGGATGTAAACTAATGTTTCTTCACTCAGAAAAAGGTGGCTAAAGATTTAGTTTAAAAAGCCTAAAGTAGAGATCCCTGGGTGGCGCAGTGGTTTGGCGCCTGCCTTTGGCCCAGGGCTCGATCCTGGAGACCTGGGATCGAATCCCACGTCGAGCTCCCGGTACATGGAGCCTGCTTCTCCCTCTGCCTATGTCTCTGCCTCTCTCTCTCTGTGTGACTATCATAAATAAATAAAAATTAAAAAAAAAAAGCCTAAAGTTTAAACAGACACTGACTTCATTGTCTTTTCTTTTTTTTAAAATGAGACTTCATTGTCTTTTGATGCCAAGCTGCCTTGGAGAAATCAAGACTTGGGTTCAGAGTTGGTGTGACAAAATCTAGGAAAGCCTATAGGCTTCATAGGAGGTAGAAAATTTCTATTTAAATTGAAAGAACATCAATCTTAGACTAAGTAGTGGATGAATTACAGAAAATAAGAGCTGGGAGAGACCTTAGACATTATTTAGTCCAAACCCCATTTTTTTTTTATTTATTTATGATAGTCACAGAGAGAGAGAGAGAGAGAGGCAGAGACACAGGCAGAGGGAGAAGCAGACTCCATGCACCGGGAGCCCGATGTGGGACTCGATCCCGGGTCTCCAGGATTGCACCCTGGGCCAAAGGCAGGCGCCAAACCGCTGCGCCACCCAGGGATCCCCAAACCCCATTTTAATAGACAAGGCCTACAGAAGTGGTATGAGTTTCCCACAGTCACCAAGTTAAGTGATACATTCTGGACTTAGGTCATAGAAATTCAGATCCAGAAAGAATTTAGGAATCATTATAGGGATGGAAATAGACTTCTCAAGTAATAGTTAGCCTCTCTGTAAACTTACTAAGGACAGAGCTTTTTGCATGCACAATGTGTAGCATATCATTTGGCATATAATGGTTGCTTAATGAATTCTTTAAGTAAAAGGTTAAGGAATAAGACATCTAACCGCACTTGTCATTAAATCTTGTTCTGAAATACATAGATCTCTTAGTGAGTGACAATAATCATCATGCTTACTATTTTAGCAGTTCTATTTTTTTTAAAAAGTGATGTAATCAAATAGATGGCATTATACATTTTGTCTCAGATAACCACACCTAGTAGAAGCTTGGCCAGCAGTCTAGAAAGCCACACATAGCCATTGCCGCCACAGTGCACTAGTTAGCAGATTAAATTTCAGATACATACCTGTTAAAAATACAGGCTCTACAGAAATATTTTGCAAATAAAAATACATAGAAACAACAAATATTTCACTTTTAGAGATATTTGGTTTTTCTGTTCACTAATATAAAATCCCCACTGAAGATCAGTTAATATGCAGAACTGCTAAAATATATATATATTAATGCTCAGGTCAAGAGATTTTTGACAAGTAACTATTCAAATTAAACCTATGTTCTTTGATAACTGCTTATATTTATTATGTATCATCCTAAAAGGATAAATTACAAAGGTTTCAATTCTAAACTTATTCTATTTCTCATCCATTAAAAATTTTCTAGTATAGGGACACCTGGGTGGCTCAAGCAGTTGAGCGTCTGCCTTTGGCTCAACTGGTGATCCTGGAGTTCCAGGATCGAGTCCCACAGCGGGCTCTTGCATGGAGCCTGCTTCTCCTCCCTCTGCCTATGTTTCTTTTTTTTTTTTTTTTCTGCCTATGTTTCTGCCTCTCTCTGTGTCTCTTATGAATAAATAAATAAAATCTTTAAAAAATAAAATAAAATAATAAAAATTTTCTAGTATAGAAATAAAAAACTTTTGCAACCTTTTACTAGTCATTTTCATAGCTTGATATTATCCTTTTTTTTGCTTGATATTATCCTTATGTAAATTTGCAATGAACCAAAAATCAATAGGTATGGGTTTCAGAATGACAAAGGTTTTGTGTATTTTTATATCTGAAAAATGAAATCTGAATAAAATTGGAATGTAATCATATAAAATTTAACTCTGAACTTGAACTTCAGAGTATTATTTGCAAGTCCTTATAAAGTAATTAACTATGTATGGATTAGATGTCTAACAAATGCAAGTCAAAAGGCCAATGAGATACCACTAGGATGGCTATGAATCAAACCATGGACAATAACAAAAGTAAGTGGGCAGCCCGGTGGCTCAGCGGTTTGGCGCCGCCTTTGGCCCAGGGCCTGATCCTGGGGACCCGGGATCGAGTCCCACATCAGGCTCCCTGCGTGGAGCCTGCTTCTCCCTCTGCCTGTGTGTCTACCTCTCACTCTCTCTCTCTGTGTGTGTCTCATGAATAAATAAATAAAATCTTTTAAATAAAAAAAGTAAGCAAGATGTGGAGAAATTGGATGCCTCATGTGCTGCTGGAGGGAAGGCAAAATGGTACAAGCAATTTGGTCACAGTTTAGCAGTTCCTAAAAAAAAAGGTTAAAAATAAGAGTTACAATGCAATGCAGCAATTCTATTCCTAGGACTATACTCAAGATAAAGGAAAATATATGTCTACATAAAAACTTGTTCAGAAATGTTCATAGCAGTATTATTCATAATAGCCAGTAAGTGGGCTTAACCCAAATGTCCATCAACTGATGAAAAGATAAACAAAATGTGGTATACTCATGCAGTGAAGATTCTTATGTCAAAAGGAATTTAGTACTGAAACATGTTACAACATGAGTGAACTCTGAATAAACTTGTGCTATGTGGAAAGACCACATATTACATAATCCCATTTTTGTGAAATGCCCAGAATAGATAAATCCATAGAGATAGAAAGTAGATGATTAGTGGCATATTTATAATTCTTAAAAAACAAATTCTTTTCTGATTTCTAGATACTATTAATCAAGTGGTTACTTTTGATGGATCACTTTTTATATAAAAGTGAATGCTACCTATGTATGTCATTATTGTGAACAAAAATGTTATCTGCTCTCTTAGGCTAGTGCGGATCTGGGAAGAGAGAGTAAGCTTAACTAAGCTAAGAGAAAAGGTCATCAAGGAAGATGGGAGAATCATTTTGAAGATAGAAAAAGAGGAATGGAAGGTAAGCTTCATAGAAGCAATATTTGATTTTCTCTATTTTGTGTTTTGTTGTGAGAGTTGAGAACATGATTCTGAGACTGTATGATTAAATCTGGAATAGTTAGAAATTCTAATTTTAATAATACACCAAATGAATTTGGCAACATGAACACCTGAAAAGAAACATAACCACATTTTTTTGGTAAAAACTTAAGTTGCTTCAACTCTGCCTAAACTTAAGTCATTTGCAATTTTTCTCCTACTAATCTTAAGAAGTAACTTCTCATTTTCCATAAACAAGATGACCATCTGCCTAACAAAAATCATATAGCTTTCCAAAATGAATGCTCAGCTAAAAGTCCACAAAATGGAATAGGATATCCATTTTTTTTAGGTCTACTACCTGATTCATATTCTTTGTCATAAACATATATACATACAGCTGCTTAATTACATTAGGCATATTCATTTTTATAGGGGTATCTATGCCTTGGGTCAGTGTTTATTTTCATACATACAAATATAGTTAGGGGCTTATGTTCTCTTTGAGCTATTTTAGGTTGAAAGGGAAAAGGCGCAGAGTTCAGAATAGTTGAAACTTAAAATTGTTAAATAAAACCTGTAAATAGCTTTTATAGAATATTTCAAAATATAAGGGGAAGAGAAATTTGAATTGTTGATTAAATTATTTTTCCTCTATGATTTCAACCATTATATTCTCATTTTCAATTGTACATGTACTTTATTATTTTTTAAAATATTTTTAATTTATTTATTAGAGACACACACACAGAGAGATAGAGAGAAGGCAGAGACACAGGCAGAGGGAGAAGCAGAGGGAGAAGCAGGCTACATGCAGGGAGCCTGACGTGGGACTCGATCCCGGGTCTCCAGGATCATGACCTGGGCCGAAGGTGGCGCTAAACCACTAAGCCACCAGGGCTGCCCTGTATTTTATTTTTTAAAAAAAGATTTTATTTATTCATGAGAGACACACAGAGAAGGCAGAAATATAGGCAGAGGGAGAAGCAGGCTCCCTGTGGGGAACCTTGTGCAGGACTCAATCCTGGGAACCCTCCTGGATGATGCCCTGAGCCGAGGGCAGATGCTCAACCAGAGATGCTCAAGCAGATGCCCTGAGCCCCCCCGGCTGCCCCTGCATATGTACTTTTATTTATTTATATTTTTTTGCATATGTACTTTTAAAGAGCCTAATACAATAACGTCTTTAATATATAGTTTTATGTATGTGCACTATTGACCAAAATATATTATCTTTGTTTATTCTGATTGGGGTTTGAAGGTTTAGTCCCCCTACCCCCAAAGTAAAGGTCTTAAAACTTAGGAGTAACACAAAACACTTGGAAATATAACCCATTAAGGAAAAAAATATTCCGAAGTTCTTTTGCAAATCAAGTAATATCCCTACAATTATACTTCAGTATGACATGATACTAAAATAATTTAATATAGTAATTCTGTCATTCTCTTACTTGAGTTTAGACCCTTCCTTCTTCTCTACTGAAACTGAATCAGCTACAGGAATGGCAACTTCATAGAACTGGTTTGTTGAAAATCCCTGAATTTATTGGAAGATTCCAAAACCTCATTGTATTAGATTTATCTCGAAACACAATTTCAGAGATACCTCGAGGAATTGGTAAGATTGCTTTTATTCCTGTCTTTTTTGTTACTGAGAATTCTTTTTGATACTTGAGAAAATTGCAAACATCTAAATTGAAGCTTCCAGATCCAAGTTTTTGGGATTTACTGAAGTGATTCAAGCTGAGATTTCAATGCCAGAAAAGTCTCTTTGGAAATATTACTGTATAGATTCTGGAAACAATATCTCTTGCTCAGTTAATCCTCCTAGAAGAGAACAGGCTGAAGGCAAGGAAGAAAGTTAAAAACTTTTCTTAGATGAGAAAAAAACAAAACAAAACAAAAAAACCCCTCAAATGGTAAATTGGCCAGGAGATTAAACAAGTTGAAAAAAATTGTATATTTTTTGCTTATAGCACTGATAAACCTGCTCCTTATCTTTAGAAGGGCAGGACACATACTGGGAAAAGGCAAGAACCTGAGAAGTGTGATTTGCCAATACGAAACTGGCAAGTAAGTCATGCTCTAATACTTAGTAACTGGAAACTTTATTTTATATCCATCTGCTCTCTTTTGTGTATTATTTTTTTTTGTAGGATTGCTCACTAAACTTCAGGAACTAATTCTTAGTTATAACAAGATCAAGACCGTCCCCAGAGAATTAAGTCATTGTGCCAGCTTGGAGAAACTAGAACTTGCTGTAAACAGAGACATATGTGATCTTCCACAAGAGGTCAGAAAGATATAAATGTCTACGGTTTTCTTTTCCACCTATTACTGGTTTACTTCTCAACTCTGTGATCATTAAAAATGACACTAATGAAATGCTATACATTTTATTTCGGGAAATATTTAGTGATAATCATTTTCTATTAGTATAACACATATTTTTAATTAGAGAAATTTTATTTGGCATAAAAGATGCCTCTTATTGTCATAGTACTGACATTTGTGATCTCCTTCAAGGCCAGAGTAAGAGTTGCACTTATATCTAGTTCCAGAATGGACAGCCCAGCCTAAGTTGTAGTTGTTACCTAATAAATGCCTCTTCAATAAATGAATGTCATAAAGCCCAGACAATGTGGTGATGGAAAGACTCTTGGTAGTTGGTGTTCATAGAGAGATCAGTTTTTGAGATGGATGTGAAGTGGCAAGAAATTAATTCCTCAGTTTCGGAAAAGTGTTTCTTTGCTAGTTTCTTAGGCTCTTCCACATGAAAGCAAAGCCACAGGCTTGGAAAGCCTTCAAACTTTGACTTGGTATGACTTGTTCTTAGTAAAATCAACCTTATCATAGAGATAGAGACACTTTCAAACATATTGCAAACCTATTTAGTGATCTTACAGTCAGTGAACGGAATTTCCAAGGTATTCTGACTTTGCAAGATGAAAGTTAGGAAAAATAATAAAACTCAAAACAAAATAGAAAGACTGTTATCTTCTCCCATTCTCCACTATTGTTGGTGAGAATACCATTGTTCCCCCACACTAGTTATTATGGCACCAATCATTGTTGCTTTTGCAAATAAAACATAGTTTCTACATTCATATCTGTCTTGTCTTGTAATAGTTCAATTTAATGAAATGTATGGACTTGCTTATGATGAAAATGACGATCACAGGGACAATTTATATCTATGACAGGGCGAATATATATCTTATTTCTAACTTCTAGTTCTTGTGATTTTCTTTCTAGGATTCGTTCTGTCACTAAAAATGCTGTATGAATTTGGGCATGTCTATTTACCTGTGTTTACCTTAATTTTTTCACGAGAAATAGATTTTACTGGAACAAATACTGGACTGAGATCTTGAGCCTGGGAGTATTTCTGAGTGTGGCCTCTAAATTAACTATGTAGCCTTGAACACACCAGTGAGGTCTCAATTTTGACATACGCAAAATAAAGACTGTTAGGTTATAATAATGTTATTATCTTTCAGTATTATAAAATCAAATGATTCTAGTACCACAGGGAAATGAGCAACAGGAGACTTATCTCTCAGCCATTACATTGCACACACTGTACACACACATTTTTATGCCAGTGTGAAGACAAGCTTTTCATATTCCATTCTAAACCATTTGAAAAATTTTAAAGTCTGATAACAGATTTTGAAAAGTTTTATTCATGGCTTGAGTTCTAAAGCTGGACAAACATTATCTACTGAATGAAAACCTCTCACTTTTTTGCATTATGCACAAAACACGGTATTTGTGCTTGTGTGTGTGTGTGTGTGTGTGTGGTGTTAAAGATATGGAATGAATCTTAACATTCCCTGAGATAAAAATAAAACAGAACTTACCTAGATAAATGGAACATTTTTGGGAAAAGTTAACTAAGTTCTCACATTTTGAAACTTTCACTATAGTGTTACATAAAAAGAGATTAGAAATTTTGTGGCTTTAGGTCCAAGAAAACTTGAATGCACATCACCTATCATTTCTAGTTACATGGCCTCTCTTAACCATTTTGTCCTTAAAATAGAAATAAGATACTTGGGATCCCTGGGTGGCGCAGCGGTTTGGCGCCTGCCTTTGGCCCAGGGCGTGATCCTGGAGACCCAGGATCGAATCCCACGTCGGGCTCCCGGTGCATGGAGCCTGCTCCTCCCTCTGCCTATGTCTCTGCCTCTATGTCTCTGCCTCTCTCTCTCTCTGTGACTATCATAAATAAATTTAAAAAAAAAAAAATTTAAAAAAAAAAAAAAAAAAAAGAAATAAGATACTCATCTTGTAAAGTTGATGAATAAACTAGAGCTATAGGCAACAATATGAATACATTGAGACACTGATACTGAGAGAAAAAAGCAAGTTAAGGGAAGTACAGTATCATAATCTTCAAATAAAGATACTAAATTTTATGACAACATATAGTAGTAACTATAGAGAAATATATAAAAACATATTTATGTAATGAAAAAAAACATGCACAAGAATAATAAATACCAAATTCAGGAGATGGATTCCCTCTGGAAAGGAAGGAGGAGTATACAGGAGGCAGATATATATATATATATATATTAAGTGTATTTATACACTTAAGATTTCATTTATTTAGGATGCCTGGGCTGCTCAGCAGTTGAGTGTCTGCCTTTGGCTCAGGGTGTGAACCCTGGATCAAGTTTGGATTGGGCTCCCCACAGGGAGCCTGCTTCTCCCTGGGCCTATGTCTTCTATTTATTCATGAGAGACACAGAGAGAGCCAGAGACATAGGCCCAGAGAGAAACAGGCTCCCTGTTGGGAGCCTGATGTGGGACTTGATCTTGGGACCCCAGGACCATGACCTGAGCCAAAGGTGGATGCCCAACAGCTGAGCCACCCAGGTGCCCCTCTTTTTTTTTTTTTGAGATTTGAGAAAGGAAGAGAGAGTGGGGAGAGAGTTCAAGGAAGAGTCAGAATCTCAAGCAGACTCCCTGCTGAGTTTGGGGCCCCAGGCAGGGCCCCACATGGGGCTCCATCTCACAACCCAAGCCAAAACCCAGTCAGTGAACAGAGCCACCCAGGCGCCCCTCAGTTTTTCTTTCTTTTTAAGATTTTTATTTATTAGAGAGAGAGAGAGAGATTGAGAGACGCAGAAACACAGGCAAAGGGAGAAGCACGTTCCATGCACGGAGCCCGATGTGGGACTCAATCCCGGGTCTCCAGGATCAGGCCCCGGGCTGAAGGCGGCGCTAAACCGCTGAGCCACCGGGGCTGCCTGTATTTTCTTTCTTAAGCTGAGCACACTGGTATTGGGATATTATTTTAAATAACTTTTTACTGTTTTCATAGAAATAAAAGAATTACCAAGCGATAAATGCTATGACTGAGATAGCATATGTAAAACATTGAGCACAAAAAAGAAGGTTCAATAAAGTATTACTTCGAAGTTTGGGTTTTCCCATACAAATCTCAAATTCAGGATGAAAAGAACACACAAACAAATACAAGCAAAGTTCTATAAATGCTGGAACTTGGGTATTTAGAAGATAAATTTTCTTTGAATAGATGTTTTCTTTTTCTTTTTTTTTTTTTTTAATAGATGAGTTTTCTATGAGAGTTTTTCATTTATCTGGAGGTTACTTAGCTTTATTTTATTTCAGAGTTCTTGTGGAGGACTAGGACTAAAAGCCCAAGCATAATGTGAACATTTCCAGATGTGAAATATCTCCTTTACCAATGTAAGCGTTCTAGTAGTTTACATTGTGGACATTCATTTTGAAAACCTTGCTTTCCTCTTTAGCTCAGCAATTTGTTAAAGCTTACGCACCTTGATTTGAGTATGAACCACTTTACTACAATCCCTCTTGCTGTGTTGAATATGCCTGCTCTTGAATGGCTCGACATGGGAAGCAACAAACTTGAACAACTTCCCGATACTATAGAAAGGTAAAATTAGTTTTCTGTGCTATTAACAGCTGTGTTGAAGCCATCCATAATAAGTATGAAGTAACAGACAAAACAAACGAGACCCCCTAAGCATAATCAATCACGAGAGATCCATGTAGTAAAAAATATTGCTACTTTTTAACAGAATACTTTCATTTACTTAAATTAAGGGTTTTGGGAGAGAAAAACTGGCTGACTTCAATATGTTGACGTGAATATGCCATACAGTAACATCGCTTAGTGCATGCCAGGCACTCTGTGCTTTATAGATGGATGAAGAGGGGCACCTGGGTAGCTTAGTGGTTGAGCAGCTGCCTTTGGCTCAGGTCATGATCCCGGGGTCCTGGGGTCGAGTCCTGCATTGGGCTCCCCGCAGGGAGCCTGCTTCTGTCTCTGTCTCTGTGTGTCTCTCATGAATAAATAAATAAAATGTAAAAAACCCTGGCAATTAAAAAGAATAATAAAAAAAATAAATGAAACTCACATAGAGATGTTAGCTAAATTGTTCAAGATCAAAGTGTAAGTGTGCAATCTAGGTTTTGAACCAAGGCAGCCTGGCCCAGGGTCCATGCTATTAACCATTATGCACACCTGTCTTGCTCTAACCAGGCATATTAATTATTTCTGATTTTTCTTCTAATATTCTAATTCCGATTAGATAACATTTACAGCAGTTCTTTAAGAAATCCTATGAGAATAGTGAAGAATGCTGAAATATATTGGTTTCCTTCCTACCACCACATGCTGAGAAGTGTACTGTAGGGATTAGCCTTCCAATGCAGCTTCCCAATAATCAGGTAATGTGAAGTCAGTTAACTCAACTGGTACACTGGTTAAAGATGTTATGAAAGATGATATTTGTTTCATTTTAGGTTAATAACAATCAGGGTTTCCATATTATGTATGATTAATTGCATAAACCTCTTTTAATTAATCAGAATGCAAAGCCTACATACATTATGGCTGCAACGGAATGAAATAACATGCTTGCCAGAAACAATCAGCAATATGAAAAATCTGGGTACTCTTGTTCTCAGCAACAATAAACTGCAAGATATTCCAGTGTGCATGGAAGAGATGAACAATCTGAGGTAAAAGTTATAGACACAAAACTGACATGTTCCTTTTTCATTGCAGAACAAAGTAATATAACTTCACATCAAATCCCACAACTTCCATAACAAAATTATTTATTCATTCATTACCAATTCAGCAGTGACAGAGCCCTGTACACCATGAAGATACGGTGATAAATAAGACACAAGTCTGTAAAATATGCAGAAACTCCAAGTTTGTAGCATTTACTTGTATGTTTGAGATGCACTGGAATTTGGGAAGTTAAGCTGTCCCACATTACATATATGCTAGTATTAATAGTTGCTTCTATAAGCTCTGAAAATAAGTTGTCTAAAGCTAGAGTTTTTCTCTTCTAGAAAAGAAACTTAAAGATTCTTAGGATATTATATCTAACCAAATGTTCGGCTATTGTAACCAGTTAAAAAAAAAAAGTAATTTAGTGTATTATCATTTGATCTTTCCCCAGGGAAATAAATGTACACTTCTATGGCATCTATAAAAATACTGTTTTTTGGTGAACTGCTAGGTTTGTCAACTTCAGAGACAATCCACTGAAATTGGAAGTAACGCTTCCCCCCAGTGAAAGCCTGGATGAAGAAGAGGAACGGGAATTATTTGGTCTTCAGTTTATGCACGCATATATACAGGAGTCACGGACGAAAGCAGGTATGACGTTGTGTATAACACAGGTCAAATATTTGGTAGAGGAATGTGTATAGACATAAATTCCTTTATAGATTTCTTAATCCCATCCTACCCTTCCTGGCACATTTTGTCTCTTGGTCAATATTGTGGGAGGAAAAAAGTGAAATTCAAATCTGTTCACAATTTTGATAAAGGCTTGAAGAGAAGTTGTGAAGATATTTAAAGTCTTTCAAGTAGAGACAGGAAATAATTTGTCCAAGTGCTTGAAGCACAAACAAGTGAATGAAGATGTGATTCACTACCTCATTCTATCAGTTTGGCATATATTTCAGTGTACTCATGAACACTACCTTCCCTGTCATTTCCTCTTTTTCTACAGTCCACAAAATAACAGCACAGTATTTTGCCTAGGAAGGAAAAATATTGAGAACACAGATTTTTAACCAATAGTTAAAATGTGAAGTTTTCACATATAGATTTCAATCACCTAGTCTCTGATAATTAAGAATTAAACCACTTCTCCACTAAAGGAAAACCTTTAACTTAAACCAAGATTAGAAGAGGCCAAAGAGACAATTCTATTAATAAAAACAATGAAACAATAGTATACTAATAGAAATCATAGTTTTACAATGCACTAAAACATGAAGAATTTTTGAATCAAAAGGTCAAATTTATTTTCAAATAGCTGCTTTGGGGAGTAAGTATAATCCAAGCAAACAAATGACAGTTTTTAAGCTATAAGAAATCATTTTTACCAACATCCAGTGGCGGATATTAGGAAATAGTCCTTTGATCTATGATGACGAGCCATGTTTGAAGACAAGTTAGTTTGGGGCCTAGTTTGGGGTAGAAATACATAAAAAACAGGTAGTAGGTAGAATTGATGATTGTATGCTGGGAAATAAGAGGACCTCAAGATTAATCTATTTTTGATTAGAGCAACTGGTCAGATGGTGATGCTGAGCTGGGGAAATGAAGTCTAGAAGATGGTGGTAGAAGTGGAAGATCAAGAAATCTGAGACAGTCGTGTGTGACATGTGGGAAGAGGTAGTTGTGTAGATGAATCTGAAAGTTCAAGAAGGGGTTTGCTGTCCCTGTAAATCTGGCAGGTCAAGGAACAGCAATATACATAGTCACTTTCTTATGCTGTCTTAAGGGAAGCAAACAAGGTTGGGAAAAACAAGAATCTTGACCTACAATTTGCTGAAGGCCAAGCTTATCTGCCTGCCCATAAAGTACCTGGTACCACTGTCAGAAACATATGAAGCTAAATGGGCAGAGGACTATTATCAGTATAACTATTGCGTGTGTATGTTGTTTTCTGGAACACAGCTGAGATTAGGCCTATTGTAGAATATGCTTTATTCCTGGACATAAGTTGTTGAATGATGCAAAACAGATTGTATGACACAAATTAGCACTGCCTGACCCAATAAAATCACATAAATTACTGAATGATGTATTATTACCCTTATTTATATTCGCTTGATTGGGCAGCATGAATAATTAACGTTAGAAATAATCAAACCACCTTCCTTTAATAATAGTGGACATAAAACTTATAAAAAGAGAAAAAAGTTTACAACATAAGCAGAGATAATAAAACCAAGTCTGCCTATTGTCACTAAAAATAGATTTGTGAATTAGCAGTATTAACAGTATTAATTGTGCTTGGAGCTGTTCTAAGCATTTTACATGTGTTATCTCATTTGTTATAACAACCATGTGAGGTAGGTATTATTATTATTATTATCTTCATCATCCCCATTTTAAACAGGGAAATTGAGGCACAAAGAGATTAAGCAGTTGCCCAAGGTCATACACTGAGGTGGCAGGGTAGGAGCTGAACCTAGGCAGTTTCATAAAACATAGGAGATTAAAGTAGAAAAGTGAGGAATTTTAAAAAGGCTAGGCTTCTAATTTATAACTCATATAATCATAGATCTATTTATAGGAGAAGAAAGTTACCTAAGAATATCATTATAGTATCTAAAACTAGTTAATTCTGATCTTTCTCTTGGCAAAGGTACATTGGTACATTGATTAAGACAATTTTTACAAATAAAGGCAGAAATAAATCAAGGATAACATGAAGATAATAACAGTCCTGACCATATGTTTGGTTTAATATTTGCTTGTGCATAGAAACTGCTTAGGAGTTAAATAAGGCCTAAATGTAAGGAGGTTTTTGGTTTCATTATCTAATTTCCACTTTATTCCAAATTATTTAAGTCAAACAAGTGAGAATATATAGTTGTACTGATAAACATAAAAATGTCCTTTTAATGTCCTAATTAACTTATAAGTTATTTGCAAATTTCAATTTAATTTGTGAATAAGGCTTATAAGTTATCTTTTTGGAATTTCTAACTAGATAATTATTCAATTAAAATGAAGTGAAATAAATAGCTTATTTCCCTTAAAAACTATCTCCTCAGTTTTTGTTGTTATGGATAAATTTAGATAATACAGATATGGCACTAAAATCTGAAGGTGAATTCCTTGATTGTGAACATCTCTGAATTTCTTTGCTTTAGAAAAAAAGAATCACGATTGATTATCCTTTCCAGATCTGAATGGACAAAAAAATCCATACATAAGCCACATTCTCAGACTGGCCCTTGTTATAAACCTACAGTTGATCTTTACATCTTCAACTTGAGAAATAAAAAGTATTAAATAAAACCAAAGGAAAATAAATTTCCAAAATACAAAGTTAATGTGCTAGGTGTATATTGATGTGTTCTGTGTGTTTCAGATAACCAAGTCAACTGTTCCACTACTTTACCAAACTCCATAAATACTGATGGATAATTTAACTCAAGATGCCCTGCTGAAGACAATTACTTTGGGAATTTGGTGAATTCGCTAATGTTTGGACTTTTAAAGTAAAAAGCAAAACTATTACCAAAAGTTCAATGAGGCCACAACATTTTAAAAAATTCCTATTATCTGCTATGTAATTATATTTTCATGAATATAAAAATACAATTAAAAAATTCTTTTGGTGGAAGACATGTTCAGAATTTCTTTTCCATTAAGGAGTTGTTTCTGGTGATACAGGATGATTTGGTAAAGCAGTTAACAATACATTTTCCAAAGACACCAGAGGATCTGTATAGTACTGTAAAGCAGGACTGAATCCTTTCTGCTGTAAATACTCAACTCGGCCTTGGTCAATCAGCAATTTACAAAGATGTCCGATTTTCTTCTTTTCTTCAACAGTAAGGAACCTAAATCAAATAAAAACAAGATATTGTTAAAATTTGTAAAAGTTTATAAAAAATTATTTTAGTCACTTCTATTTGTTGATAAGTTCCTAAGTAACCTGCAGTATACTATGTGCTATGTCCCATGCTTCCAAGATACATTTTTATTTATGCCACAATAAAAGTGTATTTTAATGTATTCTAAAATTGGACGGTAAAATGAATTTTCATGAATAGACTCTCAGTAACATTTATCTAAAAAAAAAGTACAGCAATAACAAAACATTCCTGCCCTGGTGTCGTGCATTTCAATGTAGTCACTTACCCAGGTACACTCTCAGCACTGTCGTCTGTGATTCTGCATCCACCGTCATCATGCTCTTCACTGGCATCGCTGTGCTTATCTTTTCTCTTTGTGGTAAGATTGGAAGCTTCCAAAGATGTTTTTCGCATTCCACAAGTTGCCCAACTACTCATTCGCTGGAAGTAGTGGAATTCCACTGCTCCAAGGCCTAGAGCCCTGAAATACTCTTTGCCCACATAATGTCTCCAATCACACCTGTGGTGACAACAGAGTGCAATAACAATGCCAGCCACAGGGGTCCACTTCTCTGGGACATTTTTTTCATTTCCTTCCTTGGCCAAAGTGTTAATTTCTTTTTCTGTTTTATCATTCTTTATGCGTTTGGCTAAAGGTTCTTCATTCCTTTCCTCACAACTGGCAGCATAGGTTTCAACCAAACATCGTAATGCAAGATCTGCAAACACAATTATGTGGCCCCCCCAAACCACATCATCTTTAAAAAGAAGTATTTTTTACATTTATTCAGCAGTATGGTTTCTAAAATCCCAAAAACAAACACCTGCTTAGCTTTATACTTGTAATAATTCTTCCACGAATTATCAATTTTGTTCATATTTGCTGTTTTCTCATTAGCATCTCATCTTCTCTAATGATTTATTCTACTTCCCCCAAAAACTCGCTGAAGCTTAAGATCTACACCTGTAAAAACTTCTAGTCCAACTATTGAAATTGGCTCTTATTTCTCCTACTCTAGCTGAGGAGAGAACTTGTATAGGAAAAAAATCTTTGATCTACACTTATATTCCAGGGAAGTTTTGAGCTTTAGAAACCCAAAGAAAGAATAGAGGGGAAAGGCATCTGCTAAGTATCTGCTTAGATTGATTTACGTGGCAGTCCTGAAACATAGCTGTTCATAGCAAATCCTGATGAGCTGAAGAGTTGATAAAAGAGAGTCATTTTGTGGAAAGTAGGCCTCACTGAGCAGCCTTACAGTATTTATGCATTCATTCAACAATCAGTTACTGATGCCTTTCATGTCCAAGCTTTGCAAATGTAATGATGATTAAACACATAAACTTTGAGGTGGTCCATATTAAAATGAAAAATTTAGGGATGCCTGGGTGACTCAGTGGTTGAGCGTCTGCCTTAAGCTCAGGTTGTGATCCCGGAGTCCCGGGATTGAGTCCCACAATCGGGCTCCTTGCACAGAGCCTGCTTCTCCCTCTGCCTGTGTCTCTGCCTCTCTGTGTCTCTCATGAATAAATAAATAAAATCTTTAAAAAATAAAATGAAAAATTTAAATTTAAAAGCTTAATAAATAGATTTTTTTATGACTATGACTATATCCTACTGAAGACTGCTATATGAGTTGACAATACTGGGAAGACTCCAAACCTATACTATAAAACCCATACCTGTGTCTGATTAGATTGGCATGCTGTGTCTATTCAATCAAAAACATGTATTTTAAAACGTTATTACCCTAAGATGTAACCAGTGACTATTAAATTATTTTATATTTCACTAATAAATTTAATTCAATATATGAGTCTAAGTCAATGAACAGTGGGAGAAAGAGATAGCTTTCTTTTTTATTTAATAAACTATTATTTTCTGACAAAATATATTGTCAGTTTTATTTATATTGGACTTAACTACATGATTTTCAAAAATATGAATAACCTGAAAAATTATTTAAAAAATGAAGTTATTTTATAATCAGAAGGTATTTAATCTATTTCAACCTTTCCTTCACCAAGAACTTAAAGGACAAAGCCATCTACCAAAGAAAGGGATCAAGAAACATAACAAATGGGTGGACAAGATTATTCATTCACTCAAATGCTTAGTGTTTCTATTATAAAGCCAACCATCATGTTAGTACACTCCCCGTGCTCAAAAAATTCACAGCATAGTGGGAGAATTATATATATAAACAAATAATTAAAATACCATAAGGTAGAGATATGCAGACAGAATTATGATAAACACTAATGAAGTTAGAACTTGACACAATATAGTACATGGGAAAAGTACACAGGGTTTCAATTTGCTGGGCAGCTAAGCTGTAGGCAGGAAGTGGCAAAGGCTGGAAGGCAGTGGCCAGATTGACAGCAGGTCTTCCTGTTAAAAACCTTGGGGGAAAATCTTTAAAAAAAAAAAGGGATCCCTGGGTGGCTCAGCGGTTTAGCGCCTGCCTTTGGCGCAGGGCATGATCCTGGAATCATAGGATCAAGTCCCACATCGGGCTCCCTTCATGGAGCCTGCTTCTATCTCTGCCTGTGTCTCTGCCTCTCTCTCTCTCTGTGTCTCTCATGAATAAATGAATAAAATCTTAAAAAAAAAAAAAGGGCCTTGGACTTTCTGCTGTATTAGGAGCTACCGAAGAGTTTTAAGGGGAAAGATATATTATGTGTGTAACCAAGAGGTCTAAATATTAGTAATTAAATAGGTTGTGGAAGGAGACCATCAGACAAAGAGAAAGAATGGCACAGATGTAGGGGAAGAACTGGGAAAAAAGAATGTTATCATAGGAAAGGAAACAGAATTTCAAGAAGGGCAAGCAATTGGACTGCCTGGTTGGCTCAGCCAGAGAGCATGCAACTCTGGATCTCGGAGTCGAGAGTTCCAGCCCCACGTGGGGTGTAGAGATGACTTAAATTAAAAACAAAAACAAAAACAAACTTAAAAAGAATGGCGGCAATCACAGGAAATAAACTGAGGGCTGCAGGGGGTGGGGGTGGGTGGAGGGACAGTGTAACTGGGTGATGAACATTGAGGAGGACACGTGATGTAGTGAGACCTGGGTAGTATATAAGACTGACGAATCACTGACCTCTACCTCTGATAATAATACATTATATGTTAATTAACTGAAATAAAGTTTTTCAAAAAGAAAACAAATTAACAAAGAAGGGCAAGCAAGTGCAGTAGAGATTTTTCAGTAAGATAACAACAGAGTGATGAAGGGAGAAATCAGTGAATCAAGAGAGGAAAAGTATGTGGAACAATAAAAAATGGCCAATATAGATTATACTTCTGAGAAACTTGGGTCAGATGGGTAAGAGTAAATGAGTATGCTTTTTTCTCTCCCCAGGACAGAATTGGCTTACATCAGAAGGTTTTTATGAGGGTTAAATGAGATAAGGTACATGAAAGTCATCTTAAAAACTATGAAGGACAACACAGATGTATAATACTCAAAGCCATTTCCAGCTTATTTGAATAATGTCTTATGGAGGCTCCAAGTTCCCCCTACGGGAGATGATGAAACCAGTAGGAGCCAGGAAGAAGATATAACAATAGCTAACTTTTCCTAAGCACTCATATGCACCAGACACTTCCATGTAACCAGATAAATTATATAATACCTGTTTTACAGAGGAGATAACCAAAATTCAGAAAGGCTAAATAATTTGCCAAGGTTACACAGCACAGCTGAATTCTAGATTATCCAAATGCAAAGCCTATGCTCTTTCTACCTTACCATGCTACACCTAACAGATGGATGCGCTAAGATAAGACATCTTAGATTTTTTATCTAATATTTCTTTTTCCATTTTCCCCAGAGTCCTGGTACATAATCATCTTCTAGCAGGAGAGGTTTCAGAGTCCTTTCCAAGCAACTCCTTAAAAAAATCAGTAGCTTCTGGGGTAGAATCATACAGTTTCCACAAATGATTTGTTTACTTTTTGGTTGGAATATAACCCAAAAAGCTTTAAGTCTCATATGACTCAGTCTTTACCTATGAAACTCTTAATTCATCCTGCAAAATGGCCAAAATAAGAAAACTCTATCTGATGTAACACAAGGCCAATGCTACTAGGAAGATCAATCAGCTGTAAGCATATGTGGTATAAACTACTCAAGAGACTATTTCAATGATTGGGACCATGTTAAGTTACAACTTGATGTGTTCATCTACACATTATTAGTATGTTAACGTACCTGTTGCCACACCACACAAATGCTTTCCAATTCCTACCACAGGCAGTTTTTCTTTGCTTAGCAAAGGAATCTTGTCTGAAATATAAGAAAATAAAAACGAATTAGCTCTCTTGTGAGATAAGGAAGGCATTAACATGGCCTCTCCAAAGACAGAACTAATTTAAATCTTTGAATTTAAGGGCTGAAAGAAACTCAAACAAAAACTTTTCACTTTATAGCTGAGGAATAAGACTCACAGATATAGTGACCTGATAGGTAACACAGAGAGCTGCTGACCAGCCAGAATTAAAATTAAAGTTTCTTTCTTGTTTCCCTTTTTTTCCCCTCTTGCCCCTGGTGGGGCTTCTCCTCCAGAGTTAGTTTCCTGATTCTTAGGCCAATGTCATTTCTCTCTACTGACTCAGGTCTTTCCCCTGTATAAGCCTTATTTTGCTAAATATTATTAACTAATTGATAAAAGAACTCAAAGCTTTCCCTGCTAGAAGATTTATTTTGAACAAATAATACATACAATAAACATGTAATATATAAAACACTTTATTCAGTATTATAATCAAACTATAGTTTTTTTTTTTTTTTAATATATCTTGATGTTGGGGATCCCTGGGTGGCTCAGCGGTTTCGCGCCTGCCTTTGGCCCAGGGCGTGGTCCTGGAGTCCCAGGATCGAGTCCCGCGTCGGGCTCCCTGCATGGAGCCTGCTTCTCCCTCTGTCTGTGTCTCTGCCTCTCTCTCTCTCTCTCTCATAAATAAATAAAAATAAATCTTTTAAAAATATATATATCTTGATGTTCAAAAATAAGATATCTTTGCTTTTTACATTGTTTTGAAAAAAAGAAAATATTCATAACAGTCCTGAAAAAAGTAAAAAAAAAAAAAAAGGTCCACAAGGTAATGAAGTAAGATATACTATATCACAGTTTTAGCCTCCATTTCCCCTTCCTATTTATTTCCCTTTTTGTAAGATTCTGAAAAGTATGCTTCCTCTAAAAATTCAGCTACAGCATCAAGCACAGTGAACAGTCCAATGGAAGTACTTAGTAAATATTTTTACTTTTCTGTTACTTGCTTTCAAATGTTATTATATTACTTGCCAGGAGAAAATGGTACCAAGTGGAACAGTTTGCTTGTATCAGGGAATATAGAAGTTTAAATTAAGTTAGTTCAAGAAACTTACCATCAGTTAGAGTGAAGGGAAAGGAATTCTAAGAAAAACCTTCTCCTTTATGCTTGAAAATTATCTCATTTCCTCTGTCTCCTATTTCTTTGGGCTTGGAAAATAGAACAGAGGAACCTCTGTCAAATGATGGTAGATTAAATGCAAATAGGAGTTTACTCTCTCCTAAAACTCCACCACAATGTGGATAAAAGGATTTTTTTTTTTTAAAGACTATATTTATTCTTCTGAGAGAGAGAGAGAGAGAGAGAGACAGGCAAAGGCAGAGGCAGAGAAAGAAGCAGGCTCCATGCAGGGAGCCCCATGTGGGACATGATCCCAGGTCTCCAGGATCACGCCCTGGGCCAAAGGCAGTGCTAAACCGCTGAGCCACCCGGGCTGCTCAGATTTTTTAAAAGATATAAACTCACAAGATCTGAAAGAGGACAAAAGGAGACAAAAATGGGAAAGCCTGTGACTCAACCAAATTCATTCTACAGATCTTCCAAAGGCTCAAGAATTGGGGGCATTAGGTACTTTTGGAGTACAGCTGAGTAGCTATAATGCAGAGTGTTGGTGGAAAGCCTGTTTAAGTAGTCAGATCCCCACCTCACAGCTCCTTGGTGACTACCTCTTTCCTACATGATGGAAGACTGTAGACTAATTCTCTGGATCAAGTAGAACAGGAATTCAGTGGATTTAGGGACAAGAGGAAGTTGAAAGGTAAAGTATGATAAAACAGCAGGAATCAGTGAGCATGCCTACTAATTTCCCTATCTCTCGTTCCCCCACTGGGTCCCGAGATGTTGGTCATCAGACTTTTACCCTCTAGGTAGGCGATCAGAGAAGAGTCTTCTCTGCAGAATCTGACCAGCCCAAGAGGAAAGATGACCTCTTAGGCAAATCACACCTGTGATCACTCCACCTGAGGACCCAGAGCTCTGAGTCCCTCAATCCTAAGAATACACTATCAAGGAGCATCAGATTTTGGAGGACAGCTTCTAAGTTACGAAACCAAAACAAGTGGAAAAGAACGAATTGGTGAAAACAGATTACAAAGGGAGAATAATTCTAAAACACCATTATTAATATCCTCTGAAAGAAATTATAATTATAAAAAAGATCAAAATATAATAATAAAGATAAATTCAGACAAAAAATCCTAGAAATTAAAACTATGATATAAAAAATTAAGTTGGGAAAATTTTAGGAAGTATAGAAAAAAGACCAAAAGACATAACACAGAGAAGTTTTCTTCAGAGAAGTAGAAAACCATCCCAATAAGTCTAATAACTACATCATAAGAATTCTTCCTTAAAGGAAGAAAAGAGAAAGTGGAGCAGAGTAAATTATGAAAGAAAGAATCCAAGGAAATTATCCAGAAAGCTGAGAATACTAGAATCTCTAAATCAAGATTTCTCATCCTTGGCATTATTGACTTTGGCCCCAATAATTTTGTTGTGGGGAGCTATACCATACCATATGAGATATTTAGCAGGCCTCTGGTCTAGTAGGCAGGCTCTCTGGACTGTATCCATATCATGGACTGCAACCATAGCATGCCCACTGCTATGACAATCAAAAATGTCTCAGACATTGCCAATGTGCCCTGGGGGACAAAGTCCCACCAGTGAGAACCACTGCTATAAATGAACGAGGCACAATGGATAAAAATATAACCATAGGAAGGCCTATCACTGTGAAAATTTAAAACACGAAAGACAAAGAAGAATTTCAAGAAAAAAGCAGATCAAGTACAAGGGACCAAGAAATTTCAAGAAAAGGGATGCCTGGGTGGCTCAGTGGTTGAGCATCTGCCTTCTGCTCAGGGTGTGATCCTGGAGTCCCAGGATCAAGTCCCACATTGGGCTCCCTGCATGGAGCTTGCTTCTCCCTCTGCCTATGTCTCTTCCTTTTCTCTCTCTGTATCTCTCATGAATCAATAAAATCTCTTTAAAAAAAAAAATTTCAAGAAAAAAGCAGTTCAAGTACAAGGGAGCAAGATTCAGAACAGCACTGAACTTTTAAATAATACTAGTGGAACAGAACTTTCAAAATTCTAAAGGAAAATGATTTTTTTAAAGAGATTTTATTTATTCATGAGAGACACACAGAAAGAGGCAGAGACATAGGCAAAGGGAGAAGCAGGCTCCCTGTAGGGAGCCCGATGCAGGACTTGATCCCAGGACCCTAGGATCACAACCTGAGCCAAAGGCAGGCTGCTCAACCACTGAGCCACCCAGGTGCCCCAGATAATGATTTTCAATCTGAAAATACAAATACCCAGCCAAGTCAAGTCTAAAATAAAAGATGTTTTCTAACAATGCGAGGCCTCAAATTTTTCTCTATTGCATTGTTTCTCAAAAGCTATAGGACTAGGTGCTCTACCCAAAGAGTGAATCAATAGATGTGGGAAAAGATGTGGAAAAAGAAATTCCTACCCAGGAGAGTGAAGGAAATCCCCAGGATGAGAATGAAAAAAGTTTTAATGTTGATCATTGTGCCCCAGGAATGGAGGGCATCCAGTCTGGACTGGACCATGTCTGAAGCATACAGGGGAGAATTTTTAGCAAGATGGAAACTAATAAAATAGTTGATGAATGTATTGCAACGAATACATTTTTAAAAGACAAAGTAAATAAAATTATAAATTTTTAATTTAGCAAACAAAAAAATTAAAGAGGAGAAAGTAATTTACTACATGGTCCAGTGGTAAAAAAAATGATGATTTAATCATTTCGTACATATTAGAAAGATGAGGATTGGAAAGTGTTTGCACTTGAAGCGGGGGAAAGGTACAAAATCTTTATCTTCCATTGGGAGAAACTGATAGATAATGCTTTAAGAAAAAAAGGGGGGGGCAACAAAACCAAAAGCCTATCGTTAGAGATTTCATTTATTTATTTATTTATTTTTAAGAAGATTTTATTTATTTATTCATAGACACAGAGAGAGAGAGGCAGAGACACAGACAGAGAGGGAGGCAGGCTCCATGCAGGGAACCCAATGTGGGACTCCATCTCGGGTCTCCAGGATCACACCTCAGGCTGCAGGCGGCGCCAAACCGCTGCACCACGGGGGCTGCCCAGAGATTTCATTTAAATATAAAAATCCACTTGTAACGGGTAAATGAAGTTGGCTCCAAAGAGAGAGCCATGGCTAGGAGGAAGTGGCTGCTGCTGTTTTTACACCAACTTGAGAACTTGTAGAATTGCTTCAGTCTTAACCACACATATATAACTTTAATAAAAGCCCAAAAAAGAAAAAGAAGGGGCAGGGATGTCCGTAGTGAACTCATTCAATAGATGCTTCCTATTCTTTCTCTTCCCCTAAAATGATGAATAGTCAATTCCAACCCTGCTACCCACAAAGTCCTTTAAATAAATGTCACTTTCTCCTTGCTTCAAAACTACTTTTAATCACTCTCAGTATGTCATTAAATAAGTCTTTTATTTTAAATATTAAGAAAAAACTGAAGTATGGAAGTCAGGAGATTATAATTCACATTTTCACTGGTGGCTATATTTTTACATAGGTCACTATTTAGCAGGAGAGAGTTTTCAAATTAATGCTAACTTTAAAAGGGCAGTATTGAACTAGATTATAGATATTTGCTTCATTATTAATCTTTCTCTCTTATTTTGGTTTAAAACTACGGAATAGGGGCACATGGTGGGCACAGATGAGTGATCTAGAAACTATTTAATAAATATGGTATGCTACCTTCCAGTATAAAAAGAATTCAATACATAGCATAAAAACTTGTCTAGGAAAAAAAAAAGAAAAACAAACAAACAAACAAAAAACTTGTCTAGGATTTTCAATGTCAGAAAAGAAATACATTCAGTTAAATAATTTTAAATACAGTGATTTATACAGAAATCTTGGGTTGCTCCACAAAGCTGTATTAGTGAGTGGATGGAAGAGGTCACTAGGATATGTTTGTATTAATATGAAAAACTATAAAGACTATAAAAAGGTACAGAAAAGGCACAAAAAGTATGACTGAAGCAGGGGTGAGTGTGTGAACTGTGACTTCCACAGAGGTGAATTTGTTTGGTACAATTTAAAATTCTAGCAAGTATCTTTTACCAACAGCGGGACAAAGAATAATCTCATTTCTTTGATAGTTTAGGTTAAGTAATGTTAATTATAGGCAGAAGGCACTAGCCTTTTTTAGGGGGCAGAGGGAGAGAGAATCTTAAGAGGCTCCACACCTAGTACAGAGCCTGAAGCAGGGCTTGATCTCATGACCTTGAGATCAGGACCTGAGCCCAAATCAAGAGTTGGACGCTTAACCAACTGAGCCACCCACGTGCCCCTGAACAGACTCATAATTAAAAAGATCAAAGAGGGGTGCCTGGGTGGCTAAGTCAGTTGGGTATCTGCCTTTGACTTGGGTCATAAATCCAGGTCCTAAGATTGAGCCCTGTATTGGGAATCCTTGCTTAGCAGGGAGTCTGCTTCTCCTTCTGCCCATCCCCACAGATGCTTGTGCATTCTCTCTCAAATATATAAATAAAATCTTAAAAAAAATAAAATAAAAAGGACAAAAATAATGTAGGGACATATTATCAAAACTTTTATTAAACTCTTTCCTAATATGATACTTCATTTCTAATGATACTGAAATCTCATTTTAAAAAGTTCCAGACCTAATTCAATTTACATTTATCCAAACGTTAGATATAACACTCTATATTACAATGCATTAATTTTAGTTTGTTTTCCCTGAAGCACTGTTCTGCATGACTGGATTTCTAAGCAACCCTCAGAATTTGAAACTTCTATGATTTATGGAAGGGTAACCGAAAGTTATGCAACTTACTCAAACACAAGTGTTGAATATCAATTTGAAGTCTCTCAAACACTGAATTTTTCTTTCTGTGTTTGCCATCTACCTGTAGAAACAGAACATAGTCATAACAACAGCTTTTTATGTTTAAAAAAAGCTTTATGAAAATAAACAGATTTCTCTTTGTTTTCAAAATTCAGAGGAAATAATTTCCCATCTTATTTTTAATATTTAAAAAACAGAATCACTAATTAAAAAACTTTAAGATTGTATATTCTTTGATGAAAACTCTAAAATAACAATATCATATATTTTTTAAAAGCTTAAAATTTTATAAATTATTATGTACAATTATTTCCTCTAACTCTAAAACGACCCTATTCACTGATGAAGGAACTAAGCTTCACAGATGTTAAGTGACTACCCTAAGATTATTTGCAAGCTCCTTTGCCTTAGCCCCTAATACACTATTTTAGGCTTATTCTTCTTACTCTCTCTAAAAGATCACAACCACCATTCTGATCTATGTCCATGTGTCTATGACTTAAAAATCAACACTGTGGCCCAGATTTTTTTGATGAACACCAGACACATATCTCTAGTTGTGAACTAGAAAGCTCTACTTCAACTGTAAACTCCTTCAAAACTGAACCCATCATTTCTCCTCACAAACCTATTCTTTCTCTTCTTCCTTCTATATTCCCTAGCTCAGATAAAATGCACCACCAGTCATTTAAAGCCATCAAGTGTCACCTGAAATAACTCCTCTGTCATTCTTAATGACTAATAAATAAAATCACCAAATCTCCTTCTTCTAAAATCTTAGCATTTCTCATACTCTTTCCCTCTTCTCCATGCCTCTGCAATAGTCTTAGCTCTGGCCCATTTCTTACTTGGATTACTGGATAATAATTATCTTGTTATTAATCCCTCTACTTCAAGTCTCAGACTCTTTTGATACAGCTTTAATGGTATTACTAGGATGAACTTTTTAAAATTTATTTTTATTTTTTAAAGATTTTATTTATTTATTCATGAGAGACACAGAGAGAAAGAGAGGCAGAGATATAGGCAGAGGGAGAAGCAGGCTCCATGCAGGAAGCCCGACACGGAACTCGATCCCAGGTCTCCAGGATCACACCCTGGACTGAAAGCGGCACTAAACCACTAGCCACCTGGGCTGCCCTAGGATGAACTTTTAAAAAGCCTTTTTATTTTCTTCACCAACTCTCACATATTCTTTTAATCTCCCCTCAGCTGTCACTTTTTCCAAGAAACCTTCCCCTGATCCACACTACACTAAGTCTGTGATCTATCTTCATGCTTCTATGGCTTCTGGTACTTACTATCATAAGAGACTTAGCATACTGAGCCAAAATACTCCTAAGTCTGCTCCACTAGATGTAAGATTTTCAAAGACAAGAACTAAATCTTGTTCCACTGTATATCCAGCATGTAGCAGGATAAAGTTGAACTCCTTCCTTTGGCATAAAATAGGATTCCTTCCAGAGTTTAGCCATCCTGTCCCATTTCATCACCACTGAACCCTACTTGGAACTATGCATTCTCATCACACAGAAGTGTTTCCATGTTTCCCTATTGTTTCAGGTATTTGGTTCCACTGTTCCTGCTTCCTAGAATGCTTCCCAAACCCTTTCACAAGGAAACATTAATTCTCCTTTCAAGATAGACCCAGGCATCACCTTTTCTATGTAGCCATTTGCATCCCTTCCCTACATTAAAACATGCCACTCCCTCTTTTGAAACTACACTGTACTCTGGTGCAGATTACTTTTATATAATCATTAATTTGTGTCTCTCCTTTCTAAATATAATAGAGCACAGAGACCTTGTCTTGATTTTATCTATTCAATGTCTGTCATGGTGCCTAATGGTATGCTCAATAAATATATACCGAATGAAGCTAGCAAGGGGCACAGGTAGGTTAGAACCCAAGACTTAACTCCTAGCTTGAGTTTGGCTCTTTCCACATATTTTCTTGTCTCTGCAAATAATTTTAAGAATTCCGCTCACTGGACTATCAAAATTTATTTTATTTTATTTTATTTTTAAATTTTTAATTTTTATTTATTTATGATAGTCACAGAGAGAGAGAGAGGCAGAGACACAGGCAGAGGGAGAAGCAGGCTCCATGCACTGGGAGCCCGATGTGGGATTCGATCCCGGGTCTCCAGGATCACGCCCTGGGCCAAAGGCAGGCGCCAAACCGCTGCGCCACCCAGAGATCCCTGGACTATCAAAATTTAGATTGAAAAATTTACCTTCAGTTTAAGTCATCAATATAATTAGAATAAAAAGCTGTATCAAATCAACACAAAAATTAATTTTCTGAATATCATGGTTTTCTTTTTTTAATAAGAAAAGTGCAAACAAAGTTTGGTTACTAACATACTGCCAAGAATTCACGTACCTTGAATCTCGTGGTCACCTTTTCTACTAGGATGAAGTGAACTTTTTCAGCATCTTTTAAGGCAATATCAACCCAATGAGATAATTTTCCCTTTCCTGCTCCAAACTCAACAAAGCATCTTCTTGGACCAAGTAACTTTAATTTTTCAATGTTACCTAAAATAGAAGCCTGCAAACTTCACAAGATTATTTTATAAACTAGAGTAAACACATTTGGCTTGAATGGGAAAACAGCAAGGTAATTTCTATAAGGCAGCATGTGCACATAGATAATTTTTGTTTGGCTTTAAATTTCTTCCCTTGTTTTGAAATTTTTAACACACAGTACTCAGAACCATATCCATGCCAAAAATTTTTAATATATGTTAACATATATTTTTTTGAAATGGAAAGATTCTGTTCCCTGAAAGATAAACTAAATAAAACCTCATTAACTATATTTAGAAAGAATGTTAGCTTTTGACAAATGAACAAAAGGCCAATTTTAGTATAGTGACTATGACCTAAACATACCTGCTGTTTCAGGTGTTTGGTTGCAGAATCACCATTTTTAGGGTCATTAAGGGCATCATGCAATGCTGGATGGGACATAATTTGATCTTTAAGTGTAGAGTTCAAACCTGTGCCAAATATAAGCACAATAGCTTAAGCAACCAAACATGAAACTGTAGGGCTCTGAACAACGGTAGTAACATCTTGTAAGCCACACTGGTATCAACTCACGTGGCACCTAATTATTCTAAAAATTTTAACTTGCAACTGTAGGCAGACTTACCTTCACTTGCTTTCCGCAATTTCTTAATTAAGCTTTCCAACTGCTCTTCAGAAAGAGAAGAAATCGGAACCTATATACAAAAATGGGGCATGAGTGGTCTGGAAACTAACCATCACTAATATAGATTCTATAGGAAAATCCATTCTAAATTCAAAGCAATTAGTTTATTTTTATTTTATTTTATTTTTTGCAATTAGTTTATTTTAAACAATTATTACAACAGCTTATTCATAGAGATAGCTCACAGATATCTTTTAAAATTAAATTAAATATTAAGTCCAGTACTTACTAATTGTTCAGGTATTTCTGTTTCATCGTTTAAGCCCGCATTAATATCTTGAATAAAGAAGTCCTTAACAAAAACAAAACCACAACAATACTGTTATTAATGTGAAGAGGTCAGAAAATTAAGGTGAAAAACTGATCGTTCTCTTCTTTCTATACTCTCTACCTGCCATCCTCCCTATCTCTCATTTATGAATTTAAATAATTACACATGGCTAGTGGTTACTATACTGGACCATGTAGATATAGAAGAATGAAAATAATAAAATAATACTATTTCTACAATCCTGTTCTAAAAGTAAAAACTACTGTTGGAACTTTATGCATAGTGATGGACTTTTATTACACAGAAGGGTAACATGCTGTGTGTGTTGCTACCTTTACTTATATGGACAATAAGGAAACTGGTGATTAAGTGAAAGAGGTGAAGATAGCAAGTATTACAATGTTCTGTTGGATGACTGGCAAAACTGTAATAGAAAATTAGCTATAACTATTATAATTTGATGTACTCTTAGTTTATTTTATAGATTTTATTTATTTATTCATGAGAGACACAGAGAGAGAGGCAGAGACACAGGCAGAGGGAGAAGCAAGTTCCATCAGGGAGCCTGATGTGGGATTTGATCCACAATCCCAGGATCACGTCCTGAGCCAAAGGCAGACACTCAACTGCTGAGCCACCCAGGCGTCCCTTATGTACTCTTAGTTTTAAAATGGTTGCCAAGAGTGCTCTAGGTAAGTTCTATTGTGGACTAGATTTTTAAATGTGAAAACTATTTATACTGGAGAAACATCTCACCAATTTACTTTCATTTTGTGTACTTTCTTTAAAGATTTATTTATTTTAGAGAGAGAGAAGGAGAGAGGGGAGGGAAAAGCAGAGGGAGAGAATCTTCAAGCATACTCCCCACTGTGATGGAACCAGACTTCGGGTTTGATCTCATACCCATGAAATCATGACCTGAGCCAAAACCAAGAGTCAGATGCTGAACTGAGCCACCCAGAATACAGAATTTTTTTAAAAAACGATGAAGAGTTTTACAAAATAAAGCAGAATAGTGATGAAACTTTGCCTGGGTTCCAAGTTTCACATTATATGTAGGGCACTAGATAAATACCATTCTGCATTTTTTCCTGCATCCTATCATCCCATTGTTTTCCTCCCTTTCCTTTCCACCGTGTCCTGACATGCAATAGTGTCTGTGTGGGGGTATTCCATTTTTAATAAATTTACCTCTTCTCTCAGCCTTTTCCCAGAACATGTATTCCACCTGTTTGCCTGAACTAAAACCTAGCACTTAGGTAAGGAAGATCATCTCCGTGCATACTTGAAAGTAAGGGCAATATTCTTTCTTTTCACTAAGGGTCTATCTGGGGTGGTCATCTTTTTTCTTCTACAGATCTTCATGTAAAAATATTTCCTTTTAAGCTTATGCCATCTGATCTAAGCTGGTTCTCAACTAGAAGGTATTTGGAAATGGACAGGGATATTTTATTGTCAAAATGACTGAGAGGTGCTATTGGGAGACAATGCTCAATTTTCTGCAAGTGTTACAAGCAAGGCACACTGACAACCTTGTTTCAGATTCTCTTCTCAAGGAAAGTTCTATACCAAACAATCTTGGAAGATAGAAATAGTGAATCTTTCTAGAGCAGATGGCAGGCCTGCTTATTGTACAGTATAATAAAGGAATGTCTACTTATGGAACAGAGATCAGGCAAGCTTCCTTATTACCCATTTTATTATTATTTTTAAAAAGATTTTATTTTAGGGAGCGTGTGTGCATGTGCATATATGTGGGGGGAGAGAGGAGGAATGAGGGGACATAATCTCAAGCAGTGTCTGTACGAGTACAGAGCCTGATGTGGGGCCTGATCTCATGACCCTAAGATCATGACCTGAGCTGATACCAAGAGTCAGACCCTTAACTGACTAAGCCACCCAGGTGCCCCTATTTCTTTTTTTTTTTTTAATTTATTTATGCATTTGAGAGAGAGAGAAAGAGCATGCACACAAGTGAGTGTGGGGACGGAGGGAGAGAATCCTCAAACAGACTCCCCTCTGAGTGTGGAGCCCAGCATGGGGCTTGATCTAACAACCCATGAGATCATGACCTGAGCTGAAACCAAGAGTCCGATGCTCCTATACTGCTCATTTTAAAAGAAATGTATTTCCTAAGCTTAGGGCTCTTCAGCTGTGACCTAAGCTATGCACAAAAATGTGCAAGATTCATATAGGCCCTGCTGATTCCATGGACCTTAGGGAACAAGGGGAACTGATGCAGGTGAGAGGCCCATGACACTGTAATGACTTCATTACAGTGAGTAATGAAGTCCTTTGTCTCTGACCTAGGAGTCTCTTCTGCCAGCATCCACAAACCTGTGGCAGGGTAACTTGTTAGCCTGAAAAAGAGATTATACTTCAGATCCTTCATATTCCTCACAAGTGCCCTTGCCATTTGCTGCTCAGAGGCCAGGAATACTAAACACAGGGATGCTCCAAAATATACAGGACAGGACTATCCCACTTGGAATGCCTAAAGCCTACTGAGGGTAGGAGCCACTCACCTTTGATTTCAGTGTCATCCTGAGTTCTGGCCTTGTCTCACACTCTATTTCCTGGCTATCTCGTCTCACCTTCTCCTCACCCTCTCTCCTTGATTCTATTCTCCAGTCATGTGCAATGCCTAGGCCTAAAGAAAGGTAGCAACTTTCTCACTTCTAGGTGCTTACATATGTTTTTTCCCCTTCTCTGGCTGATTCTCTTCCCACCCACTCCCCTTTTTTTTAGAGAGGGGAAGGAGGGACCAAGGGGGAAGAAGAGAGAGAATCTTAAGCAGCCTCTGTGCTCAGCGTGGAGCCCGACGTAGGGCTTGATCTCACCACCCTGAATCATGACCTGACCCAAAATCAAGAGTCAGACACTTAACCAACTGAGCCACTCAGGTGCTCGTGGCTCATTCTCCTTTGACCTGTACGTCTCATTTTATGACACTCCTTCAGAGAAGCCTCCCTGACTCCTTCTGCATGTCTCTCATCCCCTATTTCTCCCTCTAAAAGTGTTAGGCTCTTCTCTTTTCTTTCAAAGCACTCTGTACTGAATCAGTTTTAAACACATAATATTGTATTTTTTGTCTCTCTCACTAGACTTTAATGTTCTTATAGGCAGAGTGCTTGGTACAATGTCTGGCATAAGTGCTCAATTAGTATCTACTGAATAAACAAGTTCCTCCCCAACCCTTCTAATCTCTTACCTTGGGTAACTTAAAAATCCCAGAGTTCACCTAAGACCTGTATGTATTTGACTTCCAAACTAACCACTCTATGACTTTCAGACATACACAACCAACTCTCAGTTTTTAGTCACCAAGTTGTATTGATTCTGCTATCTAATAACTCTTGCATTTATTCCCTAGCTTTTCCATCCTCTTTCATTTTGTCTCTAATCATGTCCCACCTGGATTTCAGCAATACCCCTTAACTGGTTTAAATTCCAAGTCATCCTCCTACACTGCTCAGAAAGTTTTGTAAGAGGTAAGTAAGTATGACCATACCATTCTTGACCTTAAAATCTTTCAGGGGCTCCCCATATCTTTCAGAATAAAGTCTGAGTTCCTTAGAAGTCTCAATGTGGTTTCTCAGCTTATGCCTTTGTGCATATGGTTCTTTTCACCTATAAGGATTTTCTTCTTTCTTTGCCAAATCAAGACTTAGCTCAAGTGTTACAACCTCTGGGAAGCTTTTCTTGATCCCTTGGATATAATTTTAATTTTTATACAGGTATGTACACTTGTGTACTACTTCTTTCACTGAACTTATTAAATAAGATCCATTATTTACTAGCTGACTCATTGTTTCAAATTAACTCCTTGAAGTCTGGGACCATATTTTATTGAAATAAATTTAAGCACTAAATAAATAAATAAATAAATTTTAAATATTTATTTATTCATGAGAGAGAGAGAGAGAGAGAGGCAAAGACACAGGCAGAGGGAGAAGCAGGCTCCATGCAGGGAGCCCGACACGGGACTCGATCCTGAGTCTGCAGGATCACGCCCAGGGCTGAAGATGGTGCTAAACCACTGAGTCACCTGGGCTGCCATAAATAAATAAATAAATAAATAAATAAATAAATAAATAAATAAATAAATATTTTGAAGATTTTATTTATTTATTCATGAGAGAGAGAGAGGCAGAGACACAGGCAGAGGGAGAAGCAGGCTCCATGCAAGGAGCCCGACATGGGACTCAATCCCCCAGGTCTCCAGGATCACACCCTGGGCTGAAGGTAGTGCTAAACTGCTGAGCCACCCGGGCTGCCCTAAATAAATATTTTGAATAAGTTGTGAAATTACTCTCTAAACAACATACTTGTTGCATAAAGTTCTGTTATTTGAATTAGGATTATAAGTGATTCACAGTATGACATCCTATATATACTCAAATGCATTTACCACATTCAAGCTTTCTAAGGTAAGAGTCTTGCTAAATATTCACATTTGTAATCAACTGATAGATATAAACATAACATACTACACATTTCACCATTCAATTTTACTGATCAAACACTTACAGGTTTTGGCTTCTCTCTTGAGTTACATTTTTTCAAATGCTTTGCTAGTTGATCTTCATATACTGTGCTAAATTTAAAGAGAGAATTAATTAAAATAAGACCTATGACAATTAATTTTTCCAGCATAGAAAAACTCTTATCTGACCCATACTTACTGTTTTGGATCTAAAGGACACAGAATTCTTTTCCGAGCATTTTCTTCCTAAGAAAGAAAGATGATATATTTATTTAGACGAAAAATATCAAGTTTGTTCTTTACAGATATTAGATATAACTTCAATGTAATCATAAACTTATGTATTTCCAAAACAAGGTAAGGAAACCTTAAAAGGACATTAATAAAGCACTGGCAAAATCAGGTTATAGAGTTTAACAACAATAATCTCCAAAGTAGCTAGCTTATGTATATATGAGCAAATATTGCTTTGGACAGCAAGGGTTTATAGCTTTATTTTTTATTTATTTATTTTTTAAAAAATTTTATTTATTCATGAGAGACACACACAGAGAGAGAGAGAGAGAGGCAGAGACACAGGGAGAAGGAAAAGCAGGCCCCACACAGGGAGCCCGATGTGGGATTCGATCCCGGGACTCCAAGATCGCGCCCTGGGCCAAAGGCAGGTGCCAAACCGCTGAGCCACCCGGGGGATCCCGGTTTATAGCTTTAAATAGGTTATAGAAAAGGTCTTATACATGGAATTTTGAATCTCTGATAGCATTGACTATAATTTGCACTATTTTAGGCACCACGAAGGAAGAAAATATGCTGCCAATTTAAAATTGTGACATGTGAGGGACGCCTGGGTGGCTCAGCGGTTGAGTGCCTCCCTTCTGCCCAGGGCGTGATCCTGGAGACCCGGGATCGAGTCCCACGCCAGGCTCCTTGCATGGAGCCTGCCTCTCTCTCTGTGTGTTTCTCATGAATAAATAAATAAAATCTTTAAAAAAAAATTATAACATGTGATTGATTTTAAGGTATATTCTGGGGATGCCTGGGTGGCTTAATGGTTGGGCATCTGCCTTTAGCTCAGGTCATGATCCTGGGGTCCCAGGATGAAGTCCCACATCGGGCTTTCTGCATGGAGCCTGCTTCACCCTCTCTCTGTGTCTCTGCCTCTCTCTGTGTCTCTCATGAATAAATAAGTAAAATCTTTAAAAAATAAATAAATAAATCACAGATTCAGTAGGATGCCCAAAACTGAAAACCAAATCGTGTCACAGTGTTTCCACTTGGTGCCTTGCAATCTTTCTTCAAGGGACCAATAAGAATATTCCTTCCTTTCTAGGAATACCAATCAGCTTTTAATCCAGTCATATTCTACTACTATCACCAACTGCATTCATCTTCCAGATGTCTTGTTAAGGTCAAGTTAGGTTTTATTTAAAAATAAATTTTAAATAAAGAGACGTTATTCGTTTGAGAGAGAGAGAGAGAGAACGAGCAGGAGGTAGGGGTAGAGGGAGAAGCAGTTCCCCACTGAGCAGAGAGCCCAAAGCAGGGCTCAATCCCAGGACCCTGGGATCATGACTTGAGCTGAAGGCAGATGCTTAATGGACCGAGCCACCCAGGCAGCCCCCAAGTTAGGTTTTAGAGTGAGAACAAAACTTTCTCCTACCATAAACCTCGCTTAAAATTTATTTATTGGGGTGCCTAGGGGGCTCAGTTGGTTGTGTCTGCCTTTGGCTCAGATCCCGATCCAGGAATCCCAGAATAGAGCCCTATATTGGGTTCCCTGCTCAGTGAGGAGTGTGCTTCTCCCTCTCTCCCTGCTCCTTCTCTCGCTCTCATTCATTCTCTTTCAAAATAAGTAAATAAAATCTTAAAACAAAAACACCAAAAATTTACTTATCTATTTTATAAATCTCAGTTTTTGATCGAAGGATGTTTAATGGTCCTCCCAAAACCACTCGAAACAACCGTAGATATACTTCAAAGAGTTCTCACCATAAGTCAGAGGTCTCCCACATCCCCCAAAATATGTTTCTGTATACTTCACTCGGTAAGTATCAGTCTAATCAAAATATGAAGCAGAGTTATTGCTATGATGGACAGTAGCAGATGAAGGAGCTCTGGAGGCTGACTTGTACTGGGTATCTCCTAGGATAAACCACCTAACAGAAATACTGTAACTAATACTGGACATCCAGAAGTCATGAAGCCAGGTGTTGCCCATTTGGGTTAATCTTTCTAAAACTTAGCAAACACGGTCCTCTTCTACGAGCATTCTGCTCTTCTTGTTCTTATTCTCTCTCACATATACCCTAAAGAAATACACAGACATAAAAACACACAGTGAATTCTTGAAGGGGGGAGAGGCAGCCACACCCCCATCCGCAAATAACTTGGACTTCCCAAAATATGAGCTTTAAGACCTTTGTGACTTCTCATAGTCGACTGCTGACCTGAAGCCTTACTGATAACACAAACGGTTAATCAATGCATATTTTTTGTTGTATTTTACACTGTATTCTTACAATAAAGTAAGATAAAGAAAACGTTATTAAGAGTCTTAATAAGGAAAATACATTCACAGTACTGCACTGTGTTTATAAAAATCCACGTATAAGTGGGCTGCGCCACTCAAACACGTCAAGGGTCAACTGTATATGGACAGTAGTACAATGATCTGCGTGACTGTTTTCTCAAAACTGTACGCCTCCTGTTTTTATTTTTTTTAAGATTTTATTTCTTTATTCATGAGAGAGAGAGAGAGAGAGAGAGAGAGAGAGAGAGAGAGAGAGAGAGAGAGGCAGAGACACAGGCAGAGGGAGAAGCAGATGCCAAGCCGGGAGGCCGACGTGGGACTCGATCCCGGGTCTCCAGGGTCACGCCCTGGGCCCAAGGCGGCGCTAAACCGCCGAGCCACCCAGGGATCCCCTGTGTTTGATTTAAAGGGAGAGTCATTCTCACACGATTTTTAAATCCTGCCTTCCCCCTTTCAGCAGTCAAGTCGCTTTCAAAAGACTGTACTCTATATAAATCTTTAAAAAGTTTTTAATCACTCTGCTCATCACAAGCACACCCTTTAATCCCCAACACCTATTGCACCCACACACCCCTCTCCCAGAATTGTAGTTCTAAGTTTTTTTTTTTTTTTTTAAGTTTCTCAACCGCATTCACAAGAAGGGATGATTGACAGAGCCATCAGAGCACAGTCAGCGAAACCCTGGGACCTTTGATCACTATTCTTTCTAGACCCCCGTTCCCGTCAGGAAGGCGGAGACCCGGCGGGACGCCCGAGCGCGCAGTTTGGGGGCAGAACTAAGATCCACGTTCCCGCGAGTCGGCAGCGGAACCAACGGGTCGCTGCTGGAGCGTCGCTTCCTGCGAGAGACGCCGCGCTTCGCCGGCGCTCGTCAGCGCTCACTACCGAAAAAGTTGGAAAATCCAGGAAAGAAAAGTAGACATCTGTCAGAGGGCAGCTGCCGAACCAAGAAACTTATTTCCAAGTCTCCAGAGGGTAGAGCAATACCAGACCTCCGCGGCTCCAGCATGTTCCCCACAGAATCGTCTCCCTGCTGCCACCACCATCCTGCAGAACCGCTTTTTCTTTTCCACGTAGTAACTGCATCGACCCTCAGCCGGAAAGTCAGTCGTGCGCGGCGGGGCCGGCGCAGAAGCCGCCATAATTCAGGGGTCGTTTGGAGGAGCCAAGCATCCGATCAAGACAAGAAAAGTTGTCCGCTGCCCGCGGGTCCCCTTCCCTTAACAAATATGGCTGCCGCGGGTCCGGCCACGCAGGGTTAATACCCGGAACTGCCCCCGCAACCATCGTTTGCAAGACCGGAAGAAACGGATGGTGGCGGACGAGGTCCAAATCTCCCCCCCCCCCCTCCGCCTTCCCTCCGTTTCTGTTTCCCCGCCTCCTCAGCGGAAGCCGAGCGCCAAACTCAAATTTTAGCAGCACCCGGACTCCTTTAGGCTGGTTCCGTGGGCCGGGCCTGCTGGACTTTTCTGCTTTCTGGCAGGGGCCGCGGTCCAACATGAGCCAGGTTCTGTTCCAAGAGCCGGTCCCGCTGCAGGTGAAATGCAAAGACTGCGAGGAGAGGTGAGGTTCCGCATTACCCGGCGCCCGCGGGTGGCGGTTGGGGTCGGGCCAAGGGGGGTGGGGGGAGAAGATGGCGGCTCTGGCCAGTGGGCGCGGCGGCCCCCGACACGCGCGGAGGCCCCTCTGGAACCTACAGTGACCTCTCCCCGCAAGGTGGCGGTTGCTGAGGGCACAGGAGGGAGGGTGTGAGGAAATGGAAAGCTGGCCCGCATCAAGTTCATGAAAAAAAAAAAAAAAAAAAAGAACCCAAAACTTGGTTCTGAACTGAATCGTGGAGACTATAGTTCTACTCTGCCTTTTTGACAGAGAAAGTTGATTTTGTCCGTAGAAGTGAGATAATTTACGTGAGGGCACACCGCGAGTTCACGGCGGGGCGGGCGCTAAAACTCTGGCCTTGGCTCCCACCCAGCCCCTCTTCCGCTCTTGTTCGAATTATACTGGAAGTAGGTTTAAGCTTCGGGGAAAAAAAAATTTTTTTTTATAGCGTTGTGCCTTTTCTTTACATTAGTTACTAAAAATAAGTTACGTTTAACGGACTAAAAACACTAGAGGAAATTAGGAATTTCGTTCATTTAACAAATCCTGTGTCCTGGCAGAACCCTGCTGGGCCCGGGGCTTGCGCGGAGTTCGCGGGCCGCGCGACGACGAGTAAGGGCCCGGCTCCCAGGGAAACGCAGAGCTCCGGCTTTGACCAAGGTGCTGGTGCTGTTGGCGCTTCACGACTGGAGTGGAAGTCGGGGGGTTGCGACTTTTTTCCGTCCCGCCGCTCAGTAGCCAACTGCTCCCCGCACGTTTCCTCATTCGTAAAACCGACATAAGGTGCCTGCGCACACGGTCATGAGGGGCACGACTGAAAATGTCTGTGAGAACTAAATGGTGTGGAAATGTGACGTTGGAAATGAAGACATTGCTTCATTGAGGAACGGGAAGCTGGCATCTAGCTCAGAATTAGGTCTAACAGCAATCCGCGGGGCCAGGCCGTGAGGTGATACCCGAACTAGAAGCTGCGTGTGGAGGGAGCGGAGGGTGTTTGAATTGGTCATTTTCTTCTTCTGTCCAGTAATCCGGCTGCTGGACCTTTGAGGGGATCCCCGGGTGGCCCAGCGGTTTAGCGCCGCCTTCAGCCCAGGGCCTGATCCTGGAGACCCGGAATCGAGTCCCACGTCGGGCTCCCTGCACGGAGCCTGCTTCTCCCTCTGCCTGTGTCTCTGTGTCTCTCTCTCTGTGTCTCTCATGAATAAATAAATAAAATCTTAAAAAACAAAAATGGAGCTAATCCGAATTGATGTGCTGTAAGAGTGAAATATACATTGAGTTTTGAAGACTTACTATGAAAAAGGATATAAAATACCTCAATTTTTATATGTTGATTGTAAAGATGACACTATTTTGAATATTTTGAATATGTTGGACATAATATATATTCTGTATGTCATAAACATTGGAGATCTTTATATTTAACATTGGATATATAAGAAAATATTAAAATTTGCTGTTCCTTTTTTTACTGTAGTTTCTAGAAAAACAATTTTTTTTAAAGATTTTATTTATTCATAGAGACAGAGGGGCGGAGACACAGGCAGAGGGAGAAGCAGGCTTCATACAGGAAGCCCGTCGTGGGACTAGATCCCGGGTCTCCAGGATTACACCCCAGGCTGAAGGCAGCGCTAAACCGCTCTGCTACAGGGGCTGCCCAGTTTCTAGAAAATTTAAAATCGCATATGTCGTTCATATTTGTGGCCTCCATTGTACCTCTGTTGGACAGTACTGTTCCAGAATAATTATAGAAATATAAAGGGGGGAGCATCATTTCTGATTCCAGTATTGGAACTCCTAGCTCTTCTCCATTTTGTTATATTGTCATCACAGCATGTTAAAACATGTTATCAACCTTTTTACTCCTCTTGTTTAGAGACCTTTGATATATTTCTATCACCTCTAGCAGGGATCAGCAAACAAGCCCATGGGCCAGGTGGCCTTCCGCTTGATTTTTAAATAAAGTTTTTATTGCAACACGGTGGTTCTCATTTAAGAATTGTCTGGCTGCTTTCCTGCTATAAGGGCAGACATGGATAATTGTGACAGACCTTATGGCCTGCAAAGCCTGAAGTATTTACTGTCTGGCCCTGTACCGAAAATATGTTGGCCATTGACTCATAGAGAAAGCAATCCAGACTTTAGTTAAATAATCAAGGCTAGTTCAACTCAACGAATATTTATGAATACCTACTGTGTACCAGGAATTGTCCTACATGCTGAGATTATCTAATGTCCTCTCTCTTTATTCCCCTGCCTCCCAACAACAACAAAAACACTATTCATTCTGGGCCTCAAGGACCTCACATTTTATTTTATTTATTTATTTTAAGATTTTTATTTTTTTCTTTGACACAGAGCACACAAGCAGGGGGAGCAGCAGGCTCCTTGCTGAGCAGGGAGCCAGATGTGGGTTCAGCACCCAGGACCCTGGGATCATGACCTGAGGCAAAGACAGACGCTTAACCAGTTGAGTTACCCAGGCGCCCTGGAACTCACACTTTAATAGAAGAAACAAACATCTACTTTGGAGAGACAGCATAGCACAGGTTAAGGGTTCAGGCTCTGGAGCTAGATTATCTGGGTTTAAATCCAATAAATGTCACTTATTGACTGATTTTATACAATCTTTTTTTCTCTGTGTCTCATCATTAAATTGATGATGTTAAAATTTCCAATCTTATGGGATTATTAGGAGCACGAAATGAGCTCAGTACATACAAAGTACTGAGAACAGTGCCTGAAGCATAATAAGCATTCACTAAACATTAGTTATTATTAATGTGTGATTAATGCATGAAGTGACATCAAAAAATTAAAGTCATAAAGAAGAAGATACTTCAGTGGAAGATAACTCAGAAAACTCTGGAGGGAAGTAATGCAGAATTTTAAGCCCATGATTGACACCAACCTGCTTTTTCATTTTTGTTTTGTAAGTTCTTCTCCCCATGTACTAGTCACACAAGACTACTTATCCTTTGAATGTACCTGATACTCTTCTCAATACCAGACCTTTAATCCTGCTCTTCTCCCTGCTTCAAATGCTTTTTCTTTCATAACCTTCAAGATCTGTGTAAATCCCTTCTCTATAAGGACCTTTTCAAAGTTGCCTGAGTTGAAATTAATTGCCCTTATTCATTTATTAGATAGCATAATGTAGGTGAAAGATCTGAGTTCTAATTTGAGTTCTGTAAGGTGACTTTAAGCTTGTAACTGTGCACCTCAGGTTCTTTATAAGAACCTCTGTCTTCCTTAATTAGACACTCATTTACTTAGATTATTGTTAAATGATCTATGTAAAGCACCATGTAGGTACTCAGGAGTGTAGGTGCTCGGTGTTAGTAGCCCTTCCCTTCCTTTTCTTAAAGCATTAAATACAATCGGAAGCAAGTTGGAGTAGTTGCTTAATCTAATCTGAATTTGAGGACATGGACCATGTTTATTTCTGTTTATATCCCTAGCATCCAGCATATTACCTGGTTTAGAGTAGCTGTTATTTGTTTGAATTGAGAGGTTCAGGTCACAGCTTCTAGGAGGCAGAGGTGGGCCAGAATCCAGTTCTGCTAATGCCAAAACTTACTTATAGGGAGGGTGTTACGAGAATTAATGCATTGTTCAGAGTATGACATTTATTTTGAGAAATAGCATTTTCTATGGGTTTTTATTGATTTGTTTTATATTGTTGCCACGACAACCATTAAAATGGAGAAAATAAGATTGTGATTTCAGAAACTATATTTCCCGAAAACTCAGGCTTTTCTACAAGATACTTTGGGGACAGGGTTGGGGGGAGTTTAATCTATGGGTCTTTCCTCCTCCTTTTATCTCCCAAAGCTAATACATTATAGACATTTGGAATATATGCAACAATATCATTAATATGCTTCTAAAATATATAGTGATTCTTCTAGTGCTATCTAAAGAATATTAAATGACTTCTTGATTTTTTTTAAAAAACAAATTTATCAAGTATGACAAGACTTTTGAAAGTGTCTATCACCATAAAAAAGTTGTTTATTAAAAAAAAGGTTATTTATTGCAGTGTCATGGCAGTATGTTTTAGAAAAACTTCAAAAGACAAAAGCCAAACATAATGACATTGTAGATCTGAAAAGCCTCTCACAAACCTGACTCAATTCACTTACCTTACAAATTAGGAAATTGTAAATTTTTCCCCCCAAAAAAACACTTAAGTAGAATTAGAGTAGAAGTCTAATCTGTTTCACATATATTGTACCAGATAATAGAAAAATAGAAACAAAACATTCTCTTGTTTAAAAATCATTCTTCCTATCTGGGGTATTTGCCAGTGCTGCTTGTTCCTTTTCAGATAACAGAAGTTATGGTAACCTTATCATATAATAACCTCGTCATACTGAGATTTAGAATCTGATCATGTGTTCAATAGGGAATTTAACTACAATGACATATTCTAAGCCATTATAAAAGTTGTAAGTTGGAGCATAAAAAAATCTGGATGATTAAATCTAGCCTTGGTCAACTATTACCCAATTTTTCTATCAAGACTCAGCTGCTAGTTCAATACTTTTTACTTCTGTAGTAGATGAGTAGCAAAATGTGGGAAAAATTTAAAACACATTTTTGGAAGAGGTTAAAATGGAACAAAGTCTATTTGTTTATTTTTGTTTCCTACACATCAGAGAAAGGCCTTTTATTAATTCTATCAGAATATAGAACATGTGTGCAGAGATGTTTTCTTACCACACTCTCCTTTATTCCCTCAGTTGTTTAGATATATTTGCTCAGTTTGATTAATTGTTATGAGCATCTTTTATATGCTTCTGTCTGATATGGAACTCTCTTAAGATGCAGTAGAGAATGTGGAAAGCTATGGTTTCTTTTGGAGATAATAAGCTGTTGACAGTACTTTCGTGGATATATTGCATAGGGAGTATATTGAGCAGATGTAGTTGGTGGATTTTGTGAATGCATAAGGGAGGGGAATATGTTATCTTATTTTTTTTTATTATAAACATTCCACGTATTCCAATACGGCCTCACATTTTAAGTTTTTCATTAAAAAAATTTTTTTTTATTATTCATGAGAGAGAGACAGAGACAGAGGCAGAAGCAGGGAGCCCAATGTGGGACTCGATCCCGGGACCGTGGAATCACAACCAGAGCCAAAGGCAGATGTTCAACCGCTGAGCCACCCAGGCATCCCTCATTTTAAGTTTTTCAAATAGAATCTCTCATAAATCAGTTTGATCATTTGTGTTGGTAATTTTTTTAATGTGGAAAGTAGTTATTAAATTGATAGTTTGTGTGGCTTACCATTACATAGATGCTGTTTTAGGATCAGGGCAGTAGGTTATATTCCAGGCTAGTAATGGGAATTCCACATTGTTTATCTCATTTAATTCTCACAACAACCCCATTTTATAGGAGAGGAAAATACAGTCTTTGGTTAAAAACCTGTTTATTTACTAGTGGAAGAAACCTCAAATTCAGTATGCTTCCCACATATCTGTTCATAATTAGGGAACACTTGTGGAAGATCTTGCAGCTTGAGACAGAAAACTTCAGCTAATATAAATGACGGTGCCATTCCACGTGAAGGTTTCTGACAGTTGGGTATATCTTTTCATACAGGAGAATAACTGTTAGAGTGAGCATTGAACTACAATCAGTTTCCAATCCAGTTCACAGAAAGGTTGGTATTAATTTCTTTTGAAATAATTTTTTCTTTTTAAAGAAAATATAATTTCTGTACTATATAATTATTTTTGTTCTTTAAGAATGTAAAACTTTTTGTTATACTCAACTTTGAGCCGTTTGTAACTTGCAAATGTAGGGTGGTAGAGTCTACTAAGATGATGACTAGAAGGTTCCTTTTTTAAGATTTTATTTATTTATTAGAGAGCGAGTGAGCGCATGTGTGTCAGAGTAGGGGGAGGGAAAGAGGGCGAGGTTGGGAGAGAGAATCTCAAGTAGACTCTGCACTGAGCTCAGAGCCCATCTCGGGGTTTGACCTCCTGACCCTGAGATCATGAGCTGAGCTGCAATCAAGAGGCAGATACCCAACCACCTGAGCCACCCAGTGCCCCCATATCATCTATTCCTAAAGCATACAGGAAGAATTGGGAATTGAAAGAACTGGGGGTAGGTTTGCCCATTGCACTTACAGATTGATAGAATATGTATTGCTACCCTGTAGAAATGACATTTCATGTTGTATGTGTGAGGATAGAATGAATTGAAGCACTGCAGGGAGGTATTTTTGAATCTTTGCCTTTGGCAGGGAGGCATTTGAAGCATCAGTCCTGTATGATTTTTTTTTAAAGATTTATTTATTCATGAGAGAGGGGGGAGCAGAGGCAGAGACACAGGCAGAGGGAGAAGCAGGCTCTGTGCAGGGAGCCCGATGTGGGACTCGATCCCTGGACTCCAGGATCATACCCTGGGCGGAAGGCAGGCGCTAAACCACTGAGCCACCCAGGGATCCCTCCTTTATGATTTCTTCAAAAGAATGAGTCAGTAGCAGTGATATGGATGCAGAAAAGATGATGAAAAAATACAGCCTCTGTTTTCTCTGAGTCCCAGCTTTCCCTAAACATAGTATTCAAGGACCTGCTACTGAGGTACTTCTTGAAATCCACCCTAAGATGCTATAAAAAATCTGATAGTAGAAGGTGTTTTAAGAACAGGATTTTCTAAGGCAAAGCAAATACCTAGATTACTCATTTTCTGGAGTACAGATTATGTGTTCTATTTCTAAATGTTATTCCTTGGGCCTGCTGTACCTTTTTATTTTCTAACTCTACCCATAAGTAGGTTTAGATTTTTCTAGGACCCTAGCAGTTCCTCAGTAGCCATGAGTAGATTTTATTTCAAAGGGGAGCTTATTCTTAGCTTGAGTACTTATTAGTTCTTCATTAAGCCTCCATCATCTTGTTCCTGTGGCTGCTTTCTTTGCCTCAGTGTTCTCTAGAGTACATAATTTCTCTGTCAGCTTTAGCTGCTGTGATGCCTGCCATACTGCAAATTTATGTGGAAAGTGGTCTTTATGAAAGATGCTCGCTTCACATGAAATTGAAACAGATGGGGTTCCATGCCAGCGGCCACCTGGAGTAGGAGAGAATAGGCCCTTAGGAAGAAGCCCTGGCAACATGTTACTTGATACCCGTCCTCTGTCTTAGACACAAATGCTCCTTTTTTAGGATAGATGATTGCTTGTCATTTCAGCTGATATATTGCCACTTTTGAAATATCAGGCAACTAATTGTGGGAAACTGAAAATGTAGTTGAGTATCAGATGGTCACTGTTAGAATATTTTTGTCATTTGCAGATTTTAGTCTAGCAAGGACTGGGTCTCAATTTTCCTAAGCCTCTAATAAGAGAGTATTCCTCAGCTTTCAACTCCTAGCATTTACTTTTTATAAACCCCCACATGGGCTTCAAGGAGCAGAGTATCTACTCGTGTGTAAGATTTTTAAGTCTCTTAAAGACTAATGAAAACCCAGCAGCACCGGAGAACAAAGTTATCTGAAGTATAATGGTGGTACATTGTTGTTATTGGATAATTTCACTTCTGAGAAGGAAGAAATTACTCTAAAAGCCTGATGTTTTGAAAACTTAAAATATAACAATCTTTCTTTTAGGATTTAGTTATCCGTCTGACTGATGAAATGGATCCATTTTTTCTATATAACCTTGTTATATCTGAGGAAGATTTTCAGAGGTAACTAAATTTATTCTGTTTTATATTCGATCTAAGAAATAAGTACGTTTTGTTAATGTATGGATACTATTCTCTTTGAAATCAGCCTATTAGGAACATGTGGATGTTTTGAGAACACTGGACTGTTTATGGTATAATATAGCTCAGAGTTCTGCTTAAAACAGCTCAGAAATTTGGAGCTTTAGTGAATTATAGCGATCTTTTCCCTCCCATTGAATAAATTCTATAAAAACAAAGTTCTCTAGTTCTTGATTATAATGGGTATTCATTAAATAAAAAAAGAATATTTCAGGGTTTGATTATAATTAAAGATACTAATTAAATTTTAAAAAATCTCTTTTCTTCTGTATAGTTTAAAATTCCAGCAAGGCCTTCTGGTAGACTTCTTAGCTTTCCCACAAAAATTTATAGATCTCCTTCAGCAGTGTACTCAAGAACATGCCAAAGAAATTCCAAGGTAAGTCTCATGAGAGCACTACATCATTAAAATTCTCTCAAGACAAATTCTTGTTTATAAGACAAATTGATGGGAAAATATTTTCTAATATGTTAGAAGTATTTTTAAATTTTTAAAACGGGAGTTTAGGGCTCTATTAAATATCAAATTTTAAGGAATCATGGTTAAGATCAGAATATTTACCTCTTAATTTTCATGTTTTGACATGGTCATTAAAACTCTCTGAAATATTTAACAGCATCAAGTATATGATTTTATGATGAATTTTTTGATTTTATGATGAGTAAAAAGAATAAGATTTTGTGTTTGTGTGTGTATATTCATGTTTGTGTGATGCTAAAGCCTGATCATTGTGAAGTTAGTTTACCTTTTATCTTTTGGTTTCATCAGATTGTTTTTTTTTAAATTTTTTTAAAGATTTTATTTATTTATTCATGGGTGGGGGGCAGGGCGGGCAGAGACACAGGCAGAGGGAGAAGCAGGCTCCATGCAGGGAGCCTGATGTGGGACTCGATCCCAGGTCTTCAGGAGCATGCCCCTGGGCCAAAGGCAACGCTAAACCACTGAATCACCGGGGCTGCCCTCAGTTTGTTGTTTGAACCAGTTATTTTGTTAGGAACTATAAAGTGCATTTCTAATTCTGTCATTCTTTTTATATTTATTAGGTTTAATTCTTTAATAAAGAAGAACTTTTCCTCATTAGTTTGGGCTATTTGATTACTCTGAAAATTCACACAGGAAAGGATAAAGGCTTAATTCTTTTAAATTGTCAATTTAAAAAAAATTGTCAATTTTTAGAGTATTTTAGTTACTTTCGTGCTTCCAATAGGTTTTTGGTTTGTTTTTAATTTTTTACTTCATCTTTCATTGTGAACTCATAAACATTTGTATTCACTATGTTTCAGTGAGTCTTTTTTTAAGTTTCTTGCTCAGTTTTTCAATTTTAGTTTTATCCAGTTTTACCTTTGGGAGTCCTTTTATATTGACCCGATGATTATAATATGACCCCTTTCCTGATTTTTCTAATCATTGATGATTCCCTGGAGTATATGATTCAATGGGAGAATTTCACTATCTTGTAAATGTTAATACATTGTGACACTTTCTTTTCAAAGGTTTTTGTTACAGTTAGTTTCTCCAGCACCTATTTTGGATAACTCACCTGCCTTTTTAAATGTGGTAGAGACAAATCCTTTTAAGCATCTGACACACCTCTCACTAAAACTTTTACCTGGAAATGATGTAGAAATAAAGAAGTTTCTGGCCGGCTGTTTGAAATGTAGCAAGGTAAGATTTAAATTCTTACTCTTTTATTTTTATTTTTATTTATTTTTATTAAATTTTTATTTATTTATGATAGTCACACAGAGAGAGAGAGGGGCAGAGACATAGGCAGAGGGAGAAGCAGGCTCCATGCATCGGGAGCCCGACATGGGATTCGATCCTGGGTCTCCAGGATCGCGCCCTGGGCCAAAGGCAGGCGCTAAACCGCTGTGCCACCCAGGGATCCCAAATTCTTACTCTTTTAAAAATAAGTACCAAAAGTCTCCGATAAGTCACTCAAGAGCTATATTGCTATTAACTTTTGTTTTTCAGAATAAAGTATTTTTAAAGATGTCTAGCAAGTTTCTATAATATGTAAGAAATTTATTTTTATTTTGTCATTTTTTTTCTTCCATTTGATCAAGATACAGTGGGGATAGAACTAGGCTAAAAATTGAAAAACTAGGTCCCATGGTTTTTATTAATTTTCTATAATCTGGGGCAGGTCACTTAAACTGTTGGTATCATGGTTTCATCAGCTGGTAGATAAGTATGGAAATATCTACTACCCTCTTACAACTATCTCAAATGAGGAAAAAGATATAAAAGTTTCTTGAAAATTACTAAGTGCTCTTTAATTTTAGAAGGTATATGGAGAAAGAAAACAACATTGGGTTGCCTCTTCATAGTTTTCTAAAAATCTTTTTAGTCATGTGCTATAGATTAGTGAGTGCATCTCAAAATTTAATGGTACACAGATCCTCTAGGGATCTTGCTCATTTAGGTTGTGAGTCAGAAGGTCTGAAGTGGAACCCGAAATTCTGCATTTTAACAAAGTCTCAGGGTGATGCTGATGCTATCCTTTGAGTAGCACAGCTACAGATGATTAAATTATAAGCTGTGATTTTATATTTTTATAAATAGGAAGAAAAATTATCATTGATGCAATCACTAGATGATGTTACTAGGCAACTGAATTTCACACAAAAGGTAATCCAGATTTCATTTTGTCTTTGTAAGTTCTCCAAACACTGGTTCTGACTTGCTTCTTGAATCCTATCCAAGCTTTTGTTTATTAAAGCATGTTACTTTTTAATTCCCTCTCCTTTTTGCCTTTTCTTCTTTCAGTAAATTATCTTAATCTGATGCTTTCTCTGATAGTTAATCCATCCAAACATTTCTGTTACCTTCATTATATGACATATTCCTTCCAGGTCTTTATTAAATAATATATAGTACCTACCGCATGTTCTTTGCCTTTATGCACCTCACTCCTGTCTAAAATGACTTTTCAGTTAGTATCTTCTAAATCTTTCCCTTCCATATGTGTTATGAATTATTCTAATAGGCTTATTGTCATTTCAGTCATAGCTACTACCTTTTTGCCCCTAGTCCTTGAAACTGAAGACCGAGGTATCCGATAAGTGGCATGGCTTCAGGTAGAAATTATCCTGCAAAACATAGCCCATCAAGGAAACCTATGTTACTAGGTTTTATGTGTATAAGTGAACCACCCCATATGATGGACTTGCTCTACCTGGGGTTGCTTGCTTTCTTAATGTCAGAGGGGAGGATTGGGTGGTGAAGAGCCAGATTTAACTTAAAGGTTAAAAATAGTAAGGCTTGACTTCTGGGCCATGTTAGCTCTAAAATTCTTTTATTCCAATCTTGATTTCCTCAAATTAAAAAATCTGTGTAGGAAAAGGCTTTGAGTATGTTTCAGAAAGCTCTTGTTCCTTTTCTTTAATATCTTTTGTAAATACTGCTGTGTTCTAGTTAATAACATTCACAAATCTGTCTTAATATTTTGTATTGAACTCTAATACAGACATTATCCGAAAAAATCCAAGAATTAGATAAGTTACAGAATGAATGGGCATCACACACAGCTGCATTGTCAAATAAGCATTCCCAGGAACTGACAAATGAGAAAGAAAAGGCCTTGCAGGTATGAACATTAAAGAAAATAGAAAGTTATTTTGTTGTTGCTGTTAGTCATTATGTTAGTTTGAAAAGTAATATATGCTTGCTGTGATATGTTCAAACATTACAGGAGTCTGTTAAAAATTGTTTCTCATTAAAAGTTTTATTACCTGGAGGTAATTTATAAATATTTTGGTATGTGTTTTTCCAGATTTTTTTCTTTGTATGTAAATAATGTGTCTTTTATAAATATTTATACTTATACATTTAGAGTTATGTAAATTATATATTTGTACACATATAGTAGGTTTTGGTTTTATATTATGCTAATGAAGTCCTACTGTATATATTGATTGTAACTTTTTTCTTTTTTTTTGGCCCCACCCCCCCCTTTTTTTTTTTTGATTGTAACTTTTTTCACTTAACATGACAGCATGGTTCATTGTACAACAGTTCAGATATTCCTTTTTAGTGGCTGCATAGTGTTCTGTATTTGCATATATAACATAAATTAACTACTTACCCAACTGATGGACATTTAAATACTTCAGTATTTTGGCTAATGCGAATAATACTATAATGAACATTCTTTGTCTCTAGAAGTGAGACAGCAATATTCCTACTATATAAGATATTAATGGATATTGCAAATTTGCCAGGCAGAAAGTTTGTCTCAAATGGAATCTAAAAGATAGTATATGAACAGTACTTATTTCCCCATATTCTTTTTTTCCCCATTTTTATTAAGTTTTTAACTTTAATTCTTCTATAGTTAACATACAGTGTTAGTTTTAGGTGTACAATGTAGTAATTCAGTAATATACATTACTCAGTGTTTATCTTCATAAGGGTACTCTTTAATATCCATCACCTGTTTCACTTCTTTTCCTTCCCCCCATCTGTTTGTTTTCTATAATTGTCTATTGATTTTTCTTTTTTTTTCTTTGTCCATTTGTTTTCTTTCTGAAATTCCACATACAAGTGAAATCATACGGTATTTGTCTTTCTCTGACTTACTTTGCTTAGCATAATATACTCTAGCTCCATCTACATCATTGTAAATGGCAAGAGCTTGTTCTTTTTGATGGCTGAGTAATAGTCCATTGTGTATATATGCCACATCTTTATTAGCTAGTGGACTTTTACTCTCTTTCCATAGTTTGGCTATTGTTGATAATAGTCTTTAAAGTGGAATACCAGTTTACACCGCCATTCTGAGGGGTATGATAATCCCTCATAGTATGCATCTTGACCACTTGGATATTCTCATGTGAAGTTCAAGAATTCTCTTGCCTGTTTGCATCTTTAGCCTATTTTTAAGTTGGACTATTAATATTTTGTCTATGGATTTATAGGAATTTTTTGTATATTCTGGACATGAATCCTTTTTTTTTTTTAAGATTTTATTTATTCATGAGAGACAGAAAGAGAGGCAGAGACATAGGCAGAGGGAGAAGCAGGCTCCCCACAGGGAGCCCGATGCAGGACACGACCCTGGACCCTGGGATTACGCCCTGTGCTAATGTCAGATGCTCAACCCCTGAGCCACTCAGGCGTCCCTTGACATGAATCCTTTATCAGATACATGCATAGTGAATATTTTCTGTCTGTGGCTTACCTTTTCATTTCTCCATAGTATAAAGTAGGGATATTATATCTTTATTATGTATATAAACATTTTCTCCCAGTTTGTCTTTGCCTTTTACTATTGCCTTTTGCCCTATATGGTTCTTTTTATTTGAATGTCATCAAATCTGTCATTCTGCTTTTATGGTTTAAAGTTTCATTTCATGTTTGGAAGGCCTCTGCCACCCTAAGGTTATGAAAGCTATTCCTTTAGTATTTTCTTTTAATACTTTGGGTTTTTTGTTGTTATATTTGACTTTTTAATCTGTTTGGGTTATATTTTTATAGAATACAGCATGAGATTTTTTTTTGACATAAAGTCAGTCATTTGTTCCAATACCATATATTCCACTGATTTAAAATGCAACCTTTAATATATACTAAATTTCTTTGTATGTTTGACCTTGTTTCTGGAGTGTTAGGGAGAACTAATATCTTTGGGATTTTCTAACCAGTAGCGAGAATATCTTTTCATTTATTTAGATCTTATTTAAAACAGGCTTATAGTTTGTTCTTTATTTCCCTCCATCTTCTCTTTTTTTTATTTATTTTTATTTTTTTTACAGTTCTAATTAAAATTTGTTTACCTAGAGATTTTATAGCTTTTTGTGCAATGAATTGGACCACCTATGTCCCACCACTACAGTAATTTTCTGATTATTGCTGATATGCATTAATATCATACTTGTTAATTGTACATTATCTTTACAGATTCTAATAGTTTTAGAGCTGATTTTCTTAGTTTTTCAGGTAGATATGTATAAAATGATAATTTGTTTTTTTAAGATTAATACCATTTTTTCTTCTTGTACAGAAAAATGCTAAATTGTAGTGGATTCCTTTCCTTGTTTCATTCTTTTTTTGGTAAATAACCTAAAATGTCTGATCTTTAGGAATGATGTTTGTTTTGCATCCTGAGAGTTAATCCAAAGAGTGCTAAGTCAGATGAGTGATTTTTGGGGATTTAATTAAATAATCATGTCATTTTTCCACCTTTATCTAATGTAATAAATAATAGATTTTAATTAATTTTTTTAAAGAGTGAACTTGCACATGTGTGGAGGTGGGATGGTAGGAGAGGCTAAAGGAAAGGGAGAAAGAATCTTACGCAGGCTCCATGTCCAGTGCAGAACCTGATGCAGGGCTCACTCTCATGACCCTGAGATCATGACCTTAGCTGAAATCAAGAGTCCAATGCCACCCAGGCACCCTGTAGGCAGTGATTTTAAAATTTCAGTGTGCATCAGAATTACCTGCAGTGACCAGAGTAGAAAATGTAAATGTTGTAGTCCTAGCCCTCATACTTCCTTTTTTAATTTTTAACAATGCATTTCTTTCTTTTTTTAAGATTTTATTTATTTATTCGCGAGAGACAGAGAAGGCAGAAGGAGAAGCAGGCTCCCTGTGGGGAGCCTGATGCAGGACTCCATCCTGGAACCCCAAGATCATGCCCTGAGCTAAAGGCAGTTGCTCAACCATTTAGCCACCCAGGCGTCCCTCTCTATTTTTTAAACAAAAACTCCAAATTACAATGATCACTGGGATAAAACCAGTCCTTTATTTTTACTGCCTTTATTGCCTTCAATGTATTTGATTACCATCTTCAGCAGTTACATTAACATCTTTACCAGTTTACTCTTTTTTCTTCTTGATTGCTCCAGCAGTATTTTCTTCCCACATTACATTTTCAGTCTTTTTTTTTAAGATTTTATTTATCGGGATGCCTGAGTGGCTCAGCGGTTGAGTGTCTGCCTTCGGATGAGGACATGATCCGGAAGTCCTGAGACCAAGTCCCACATTGGGCTTCCTGCATGGAGCCTGTCTTTGCCTCTCTCTCTCTTTCTGTCTGTCATGAATAAATAAATAAAAACTTTAAAAATAAAGAAATTAAGAACAAGATCAAAATAGTAAATGTACCTTTGTTGACCTTTCTCCTTCATGAAATCCGTAATTGAAAATAGATCCTCTTTGAAACAGGAAATTTTTATAATTATATATAAGAATAAGATTTATTTTTCTTCAAATCTTCCTGTATTTGTGTTTGTTTTCAATTTTGGTACTATACTTTTATTATATAATAGGCACAGGTACAGTACCAACAGCAGCATGAACAACAGAAAAAAGATTTAGAAATCCTCCATCAACGAAATATCCAGCAACTACAAAACAAATTATCTGAGTTAGAAGCAACTAATAAAGACCTAACGGAAAGGAAATATAAAGGAGACTCTACCATCAGAGAACTGAAAACAAAACTGTCTGGTGTAGAAGAGGTATTGAACGTTGTGTTTGTTCTCCCCCCCACCCCCCCACCCCAATTTAAAATAACATTTAAATTTGGTGACTTTATTATTTGTATCCAGGCTGTTTCTCTGATGCTTTGCAAGGATGTTTTGGTGTTATTAGGGTGATCAGATGTTGCAAAAAAATTGAGAATCTAAAATTTGATGAAAAGGGATAATTCAGAACAGAACTGTGGTCAACTTAGATATTTTTAGTTAGGGTCTTGAAGAGTAGCTCGTTGACATAACCTTTAGATTTTTCGGTGTACTTTTTTTAAGATTTTATTTATTTATTCATGAGAAGCACACACAGAGAGAGGCAGAGACATAGGCAGAGGGAGAAGCAGGCTCCATGCAGGGAGCCTGACAGTGGGACTCGATCCTGGGCCTCTAGGATTACACCCCGGGCTGAAGGCTGGTGCTAAACTGCTGAGCCACCAGGGCTGCCCTCAGTGTACTTTTAATATCTGCGCAGTGTCAATGGCTCAATGTATTCAGTGTTGACAGGCCTGGTTCTTTCAGCCTACTTAACACGTCCAACAACTATATGAATAATGTGTCTAATAATAATGATATTAGTAATGCTGGTAGCTAAGGCATACTGAACACACGCTATGTGACAGGTGCTGTTTAACTGCTTTACAGGTATTAATCCATTTAATTCTTATAATTATTTTAAAGAAGGTACTGTTATCCCCATTTTGCAGATGGTGAAGTAGGACACAGATAGTTTAAGAAACTTGCCCGAGGTTTCATAGCCAGTAAATGGAAGAACAAGGATTAGAATCCTCTTATTTGCTTATCTTTAGTACTCCTTTATTCTTTTAGGCAACAGAGACATTTAGAAAATCTTGCTCTGTGACACATTGTTGATGCTTTGGCTATGATGATAAGCTCCTTCCTAGCATTATACATTATTGTCATGAATTAATCAGAAAACGTAGATTTTGTTAAGTCTATCATATTTAAATAAAAAATCAGTGTTATTTGAGCTCATGAGACTTCCCCACTCCATTTCACCAACTCTAAAGCTTGATGATTTTATTTATTTATTTAAAAATTTTTTTTAAAGATTTTATTTACTTATGAGAGACACAGATTGAGAGAGAGGCACAGATACAGGCAGAGGGAGAAGCAGGCTCCACGTAGGGAGCCCGACATGGGACTTGATCCCTGGTCCCCAGGATCACACCTTGGGCTGAAGGCGGTGCTAAACCACTTAGCTACCCAGGCTGCCCTGAGTAGAAAGCTTGATGATTTTATGTTCAGATCTTCAGTATTCTGCGCCAGTAGTGCATCCTCCCTGCTCCCTTGACCTTTCATACCAGTTCGTAAAATATTGTAATCTGCCTTGTACATTGGATAGTCATGACTTCTTTTATCTTCGCCCTGAAATTGGCCAGTTTATAAATACTGTGCTCCATTATGTGGGCTTTATATAATTTCATCAAAATATTTCTTTAAAAATTTTTTTTTAAGATTTTATTTATTTATTCATGAGAGACAGAGAGGCAGAGGCAGAGGCAGAGGGAGAAGCAGGCTCCATGCAGGGATCCCAATGTGGGACTCGATCCCAGGACTCCGGGATCACAACTTGAGTGGAAGGCAGACGCTCGACCACTGAGCCACACCCAGGCATCCCAAATTATTTCTTTAAAAAAAAAATTCTGGGGATCCCTGGGTGGCTCAGCAGTTTAGCGCCTGCCTTTGGCCCAGGGGGGCAATCCTGGAGTCCCGGGATCGAGTCCCATGTTCAGCTCCCGTCATGGAGCCTGCTTCTCCCTCTGCCTGTATCTCTGCCTCTCTCTCTATGTCTATCATGAATAAATAAATAAAATCTTAAAAAAAATTTTTTTTTATTTAAATCAACTTGCTAACATAAAGTATAACACCCAGTGCTCATCTCATCATGTACCCTCGTTAATGTCTAATCAAAATCTTTCTTTCAAGATTTGCAGATGACTTGAACATGATCAGTCCTGGGAACCCCTTTGTTTTTTTTAATTGTAGTATAGTCAACATTCAGTGTTACATTAGTTTCAGGTGTACAATATAGTGATTCAGTACTTTATACAACACCCTGTGCTCATCACAAGTGCAGTCCTCATTAATTGCCATCATCTATTTCACTCATCTTCCCACCCACCTCCCCTCTGGTAACCATCAATTTGTTCTCAATAGTTAAGAGCCTGTTTCTTGGCTCACTTGTTCTCTTTCTTTCTTCCTCCTTTTTTCCCCTTTGCTCATTTGTTTTGTGTCTTAAATTCCACTTATGAGTGAAATCATACAGTTTTTGTCTTTCTCCAACTGAGTTATTTCACTCAAACTCCATGTCGTTGCACTGGGAACTTTTTTTTTTTAAACCTCTGAGTATTGTTACCTAATCATGGTAAATTATACCTTTTAGGCATTAGTGCCCTAAAAATAATTGCTGCCATTTATTATTTATTGTGTGCCAGGCATTATGCTAAGCAATTTGCATTAGAGTTTTTATGGAAATTAAGTGAAGTAATTTATGAAGTGTTTGTTATTTCTGTTTTAAAAATGAGGGAACTAAGATTCAGGGAGGTTAAATAATTCCCAAGGTTACACCGAAGAACCTTGATTTGTATTCAACTCTGTCTGATACTAGAATTTGCTTCTGAAATCAAAGTATTATGTTGTGGCATAATACTATAAAATTATTTTGTAAAGTTTTGTTAAAGATGAAAATTATCTAGAAATACTATATCCTCGAGTTGTGTATCCTTGGCAGTATTTAGATGGTATTAGCTAATTGGGAAGTGACCTGTCTTAGATTTTTTAAAGTGTTTTTTTCTTTTTTTAAGATTTTAATTTATTTATTCATTAGATAAACAGACACAGGCAGAGGGAAAAGCAAGCTCCCTGCAAGGAGCCTGATGTGGGACTCGATCCCAGATCTCAGGATTACACTCTGAGCCAAAGGCGAACACAACCTCTGAGCCACCTAGGCGTCCCCCAAAGAATCTGTTTTTAAATCACAATTATATTTGCTTACTTTTGTTTTAAAGAGTGAACTAAGAGCAAATCCAGAAGTGTTAACATATTTGTTGACATGGAAAGATCGTAATATGTATGAAGGTTGATTATAAAACTGCACAGTATGAGTACTTTAAAAAAAAAAATCAATGCATATAAACAGAGCAAAATGTTAACAGCAGATTGTGGCAGCCACCCTTGGCTACCCTTAGAATCCATTACAGAGTTCTACTGCCCATGCTCTACCTCATACTAACTATAAATAAGACTTTATTTTAAAAGATTTTATTTGTTTATTCATGAGAGACAGAGAGAGAAAGAGAGAGGCAGAGACATAGGCAGAGGGAGAAGCAGGTTCCATGTAGAAAGCCCAATGTAGAACTTGATCCCAGGACTCTGGGATCATACCCTGAGCCAAAGGCAGATGCTCAACTGCTGAGCCACCCAGGTGTCCTAAATAAGATGGAACCAGGCATCAATAGTTTTAAAGTTTTCTTGGTGATTTCAATATGCATACTAGCTTGAGAACCACTGCTTACATGGTAGAATGATAGGGCTTTTTATTTTATGTTCTTGAAATTCTATTATAATGGGCATTTATTACCTAAGTGTTTTTTTTTAAGTGTAAATTTCAAGGTACCAAAAAATCCTTGTTACTAGTTTTTAAAAGTTGCAGTAATTTATTCATAAATCAAGATTATTTTCCTTGTTGTCATTGAATTAGATATTAGTGTATTTTACAATCATATTTCAAGTCTACAAGTTACATACAACCTTAGAGGGACTTCTGTATCCTTTAAAAAAAATCAGTACTAGATTTTTCAGACCAATTTTTGTATATGTTGTATTAAATCACCACATGTATCTGGATCCTTCACTATGAAGAAACAGGCTTCATGAATCATTGGGAAATATTATAATGATTATAATTCTTATTGAGCCCATGAACCTAAAATTAGAGAATCTTAAGAATCCTTAAAAGTGGAAGGGACTGTAGAAATTATCTGGTCTAGTGTAAAAGTTTCTCTTCATCTCTGGCACAAAGTCATTTATTACCTGCTTAGATAGGTCCAAATAGGAATGAACTCACTAATCCTTAAGAATGCTATTCCATTTTTTAAGAGTTCAAATTGTTAAAAATCTATTCCTTATGTTAGAGCCAAAATCTGTCTCTAATTTTTACCCTTTAAGGGCAGCCTGGGTGGCTCAGTGGTTTAGCGCTGACTTCAGCCCAGTGCATGATCCTGGAGACCCGGGTTAGAGTCCCACATGGGGTTCCCTGCATGGAACCTGTTTCTCCCTCTGCCTGTGTCTCTGCCTCTCTCTGTGTATCTCTCATAAATAAAATAAAAAAATAATAAAATAAAATAAATATAAAATAAAATAATAAAATAAAATAAATAAAATAAATAAAATAAAAGCTATATGGAGGAGTGCTGGGGTGGCTCTATTGGTTAAGTGGCCGCCTCTTGATTTCAGGGTGGTTCATGATCTCAGGGGATGGAGCTCTGAGACGGGCTTCATAGTCAATAGGGAGTTGACTTAAGGATTCTCTCTCCCTTTTTTCCTTTTCCTGCTCACTCTCTCTATAATAAATAAAATCTTTAAAAATCTAAAATAAATAAATCTTAAGTAAAAGCTATATTAAATAAAAAAACAGTACTAGAACTTTGAAAGGCTTCTTAAATATTTTATGTCTAATTATAAATAACCAGAGCAGCTAACTTCTCTTTTTCATACTGCATCATTTTTTTTCTTCCTCTAGGAACTCCAGCGGGCTAAGCAAGAAGTCCTCTCTTTGCGAAGAGAGAATTCTACACTAGATGCCGAATGCCATGAAAAAGAAAAGCATATTAATCAGCTACAAACAAAAGTGGCTGTTTTAGAACAGGAAATCAAGGATAAGGACCAGCTTGTTTTAAGAACAAAAGAAGCATTTGATACAATCCAGGAACAAAAGGTCTATTTAAACATTTTTTAAACAAATTGTTGGTCACATTTACAAGTGATCCTTTTTTTAAACACAAACATCCTATTAATTATTTTTGTTTTAAAAAATATGTATCAGGTGGCTTTAGAAGAGAATGGTGAGAAAAATCAAGTACAGCTAGGAAAACTTGAAGCTACAATAAAATCATTATCAGCAGAACTTCTTAAGGTTTGTTTTTAAAAATAATAGAATATTAAATTTCATTGGGTTAAGTAGAGATATACATATGAAGCTCTTTTACAGGCAAATGAAATTATCAAGAAGTTACAGGGGGATCTGAAAACTTTAATGGGTAAATTAAAACTGAAGAATACAGTAACTGTTCAACAAGAGAAACTCTTGGCTGAGAAGGAAGACAAATTACAAAAGGAACAAAAGGAATTACAAGATGTTGGACAGGCTCTCCGAATTAAAGAGCAAGAGGTAGTGAATATTCTATATTTTTGCGTGTGTGACTACTTCTAGAGTATAACAAATTTTCTCAGGTTTTTAAAAAACTGTGTTATATTAGAGAACAGCTTTGGCTTTTTTATCCCCCCAAAAGAACATAACTAGCTTCAGCACAAGTTAACCTATTTCTTTTTAGATTTTATTTATTTGAGAAACAGAGAGAGGCAGAGATACAGGCAGAGGGAGGAGAAGCAGGCTCCATGCAGGGAGCCTGACTTGGGACTCGATCCCCGGTCCGCAGGATCACGCCGTGGGCTGAAGGCGGCGCTAAACCGCTGAACCACCTGGGCTGCCCAAGTTAACCTATTTCAATTTGAAAAGTTAGTTATCATGACTTAGATACCTTGAGTGTTTATTATATATACGTACATATACGGGTGTTATGCAGGTGAATTATAATTCATTTATCTATTTAATAGTTAATGGTATTTAATTAATAGAGATACATTCCTTAGTTTTTATTTAGCCTTTATTATACTAATAAGAGAGGATTGATATTTCAGGTATGCAAATTACAAGAACAGTTAGAAGCTACTGTTCAAAAGCTTGAAGAAAGCAAACAGCTTCTAAAAAATAATGAGAAGTGTAAGTATTTTACCTTTTTATGTAAATGAGATTTATAATTGTTCTATTCATCTGAAAATTTTATTTGAGTTCATAAAAGTCTAGGTAAATCAAGATAGTGCTACAGCCAAATAATTTGTTTTAATTACATTGTCTTCATGTCTTTCCTATAGTAACTTGTATATCAGCTGCCCTGTAAAGCAGTTATCATTATAACAAAAACCGTATTAAATGTCTCAGTAACCCAAATTAAGTGTTGAAAATATTGATTGTAATTTAAATTCTTCATGTTAAAGGTCTTCACTACTCCTTATTTTAATTGTTATATTTATCTAATAGTAATAACATGAATTATTTGAAACTGAAATACAAGATTAAGCTTTAACATTTTCTCAGGTTTTTTTTTTTTTAATTTTATTTATTTATTCATGAGAGACAGAGAGAGAGAGAGGCAGAGACACAGGCAGAGGGAAAAGCAGGCACCATGCAGGGAGCCCGACACGGGACTCAGTCCCTGGGGACTCAGGGAGCCCAACACGGGACTCAATCCCTGGGACTCCAGGATCACGCCCTGGGCCAAAGGCAGGTGCTAAACCACTGAGCCACCCAGGGATCCTCACATTTTCTCAGTTTTTAGTATTGGTTATCAGACAAGAGTATGAACTTCAAATAAAATGTAAGATATTGTTCTAGAAGTGAAAGCCTTCAAAGAGATCCAAGACTAGCAGAAATATGTACTTCTCATAGTAATAAAGAGTTCTATATATGTGGTGATTGCTAAGAGTCTTTTCTTTAATGATAAGCATTTAGGTGAACCTATATTTTCCTGTGATAAAAGGTATTCTGAAAGACTTAAGAAGATCTCAATATAACTTTTAAGTGTTTAAAGTTATTAGAAAATTAAAAAGTCAAAATTCTTTACCTTGTTTTGTTCTTTTATTTAAGTAATCACATGGTTAAATAAAGAACTAAATGAAAATCAGCTAGTGAGAAAACAAGATGTATTGGGACCTTCTACCACTCCACCTGTGCATTCTAGCAGTAACACAATTAGAAGTGGAATTTCTTCTAACTCTAATGTGGTAAGATTTAAATCAAGATGTGAGTGGTCTTAATAAATTACCTAAAATAAAAATATTGCCTGACTAAGGAAGTCTCCATGACTAATATGACTAGATATTGATTAGCACTGAGATAAAGGTTAAGTCCCACCTGGAAGTGAGATATATAGGTAAACTTGCTCTTAATAAAGAGGCTATATTTCAAGGGTGCACTTTTTTTAAAATTTATTTTTATTTATTTTTATTTATTTTTTTAAAGATGTTATTTATTCATGAGAGACACAGAGATAGAGAGAGAGAGAGTGAAGCAGAGGGAGAATCAGGCTCCATGCAGGGAGCCTGATGTGGGACTTGATCCCGGATCTCCAGGATCAGGCCCTGGGCTGAAGGCGGTGCTAAACCGCTGGGCCACCCGGGCTACCCAAGGGTGCACTTTTAAAAATTGGATATAGAAATCATTCAGTAATAAGTAATGCCAAATGTGCTAAAGAAGGGAGTATTCTGGGGACCTTAAGAAGGGAGAACAGAGTTTGAGCTCAAGTTGAAACTATGATAGAAGGAGCCTAAACTGAATTCTAATTTTAAGAGAAAAGAGAAAGAAATGTCCTTTTATCAGTCTGTCAGCTCCAGTTTCTAGAAGGAAGTAGTTATAAGATTTAAGGTTTTTAGCTCCCAGGACCAGGTCTCTTGCTTTTTCCTTGCAAGAAATCGGGAGAAAAAGAAGAACAACTCCTTACATCTGGGAGCTGGCTTGGTACTATCACCAAGGCCCCGGTGTTGCTAGGAGAGCTAGCCTAGCACTCACAACTAGGTCTTGGGGCTCTCCTGTTGAACATAAATAATTTCACAGAATATCAACATCAGGCAAGGCCACTCTGTGACTGTGACAGATCAAGACAAAAACAGGATCACATCATAATCATGTCTGAACACAATTAAAAAAAAAAAAAGGAACATTGCCAAACCACAAAATGGGCAAACATTCTCCTGTCTTGGCTAACATGATTTACTGCTCCTTCTTTACCAACTACCTTCTTTACCAACTATGGTTTTGGCCTCAATGCATTAATACTTACCTAATAAGATTTATTTCAGATACTGAGTCATACAGTTATCCCCATTTCCAGATAGCATCTGAACCACAATAAGGCCACACTTTATTAAACTGTTCCTTGAAACACCTAACACATAAGTCTAATAAAGTCCCTTTTAACACCTACATACTGTCACACCCCCTCTTACTAGATTTCCCACAGTATGCAGTCTCCATTGTTTGCAAGGAGCAGTAAACCCAGGGTGTACACATATAGACATGTTCTGGTAGTCATTTGTTGGAGAGCATTGGCAGAGGATTTAAAATGCAAATACCTAACTGTATTTATAAATTAGATTGACTTGATGTTTAAAAAGAATAGATTTTTGCTAAGTTGGAAAAAGGTGTGGAAAGAAGTACCTAGTACTGGATTGAAAAAATTTGAATCTTAACCTTCTTAATTGATGATAAATAGCTATGTAAAAGGTGTTTTTGTTGTGTAGCCAGTGATCTTATACAGTTGCTTCTTAAGGTTTGTGTTTCAGTTCTCTTATAAACTCTTTTCATGACCTTATTTTTTTTTTGTTTTTTGTTTTTTCATGACCTTAGTTAATGGTGTTGTCACTATATTTGAAAATTAGTGGCAAAGCAAATTACTGTCAGAATCAGTCCATTTAAGAACACATACCTTGTTCTCATTCTGGCAGAAAATTATTTTTATTTTATATCTGATTGGCTTATTGATCTATGACTCCACCCTCCCCCCCCCATCCCATTTTCAGGAATGGAAGATCTATAGGGAACCAAGGTAATTCAGAGAGGTCATTTGAAGTCATTTCAAAGACAGGTCCAGTGGTTCATTTTGTTAAGCTTGCAAGGCCACTCCTTAAGAAAGCTTAGATATCCTAGCCTCATGCTATTATTTATTATTAAAGCAGAGTTTTGTGTTGTCATGATAAAATTGGCCTCTAAAGATAGCGTTTTTAAGTATTATAACAGTGTCTCATAGATCAGTAAATACTATTTAGAACTAATAACTCATCCTTAACCTTTTTATGTTTTTATTTTTAGGTTGATGGTAGACTGACTTACCCAACTTTTGGGATTGGTTATCCTATCTCCTCTGCATATGCATTCCAGAGTAACTTTCCTCATCCTGTATCTGCCAAAAATACCAACCACCCAATTTCAGGACCAAAGGTAGACAAATTACCTAATACTTTTTTGGGAGGAAATATAGCAAGCTAGTAACAAATTTTTTCTTTTAAAGATTTATTAGTGTTTTGGTCAGTTGCTAAGTATTAGGTAATAGATAAATATATTCCAGAATATCTAGTTTATGCTTATAGGAAATACTACCTGTACTATATGGTATTTCTTGAGTCACTATAATTTATAAAAAGCTGGACATTACTCTCCTTAAATTTTATTTATCCCTGTTGAACCGTTTTCCATTTTTATTCATTCTCTATTACAATTCTCAAACCTAACTAGAATTACTGACTTCATACTGCTGATGTATTAGCTATGGTGACATTTTTGGATTTTACTGCCAGGACTTTAAGGTGTGATAAGGTAGACTTATAGCATATTCTAAGATGTTGCCACATCTTAGTTCTGGCAACATTTTCTTAAATAGCATAGAACTAGCATTTCCTCCAATGTGATATTTGCTGAGATTTTTTTCTACCCACTTGAGTTCTTCATCATCATTGTTAGTACTTAATGTCTTAGGTTTATATATTGTTTTCACATGTATTATAATTTTATTTTCACAATAATTCACCCAGACCAGCCACTGATTTTTTTTTTTTTAAGATTTTACTTATTTATTCATGAGAGACACACAGAGAGAGAGGCAGAGACACAGGCAGAGGGAGAAGCAGGCTCCATGCAGGAAACCCAGTGTGGGACTCGATCCTGGGATTCTAGGATCACACCCTGAGCTAAAAATGCTCAACTGCTGAGCCACCCAGGCATCCCAGACCAGCCAGTGATTCTATTTTCATTCTTAAGTTTAGGTCAAAATTGATTGTTTTGTAAATCATAGAAACAATTTTGAAAAGATTTTTTTTTTAAAGATGTATTTATTTTAGAGAGTGTGCACAAGGAGGGGAGAGGCAGAGTGAGAATCTCAAGCAGACCCCCTGCTGAGCCTGGAGCCTGATGGGGGCTTGATCCCATGACATTGAGATAATGACCTGAGCAAAAATCAAGAGTCAGAGGTTTAATCAACTGACTCAGCCACCCCAGGCGCCCCTGAAAACAATATTTTGAACGGAGGACTTTGAATTTGTTTTTATAAACCCTTTATCAAATTAGTTTTGGGCTGCCCTACAAATAAGCTGACTGTGTTGCTTAGGCCTATGCTTCTTTTTAACTTTTAAAGCCTTTTTAGAGCACCTGGGTGGCTTAGTGGTTGAGCGTCTGCCTTTGGCTCAACATGGGATCCTGGGATCAAGTTCCGCATCAGGCTCCCCACAGGGAGCCTGTTTCTCCCTTTACCTATGTCTCTGCCTCTCTCTGTGTGTCTCTCATGAATAAATAAATAAAATATTTATTTAAAAAAAAAAGCCTTTTTAACTATATGTTTTTGGTTTGTCTCTTTATTTTCTCCTTTGTTTTGTTTCTTAAGCTCCACATGAGTGAAATGTGGTATTTGTCTTTCTTTGACTTATTTCACATACTCCATCTATGTTGTTGCAAATAGCAAGATTTCATTTCTTTTTTTATGGCTGGGCAATATCACATTATATATATATATATATATATATATATATATATATATATATATATATATATATATATATATATCACATTTTCTTGATCCTTTCATCTATCGGTGGACACTTGGGCTGCTTCCAGAATTTGGCTATTGTAAATAATGCTGCTATAAACAGAGAGGTGTACATATTTTTTCACATTAGTGTTTTCATATTCTTTGGGTAAATACCCAGCCGTGGAATTTTACTGGATCATACGGTAATTCTATTTTTTAATTTTTTAAGGAACCTTCATACTGTTTCACACAATGGCTGTATCAGTTTGCGTTCTCACCAGCTGTGTATGAGGGTTCCTTTTTCTCCACATCCTTGCCAACACTTGTTTCTTGAATATTATTGTTTCTTAATATACTCAAATGTGATTGCATCTTGGGATTAATATTTTTCTTGAGAATATAATTGAATTGTCTTTTCATTTTAAAGTTTTTTTTTTTTTTTTTTAAAGATTTTATCCATTTATTCATGAGAGACACGGGCAGAGGGAGAAGAAGCAGGCTCCATGCAGGGAGCCTGATGTAGAACTCGGTCCCGGGTCTCCAGGATTAGGCCCTGGGCTGAAGGTGGCGCTAAACGGCTGCCCAATTAAGTCTATTTCTTGCTTTGACAGACACTCATTTTTTCCTGTGTTTTGTTTTTTAAATTTCACGTATGAGTGAAATCATATGGTATTTGTCTTTCTCTATCTGACATATTTCACTTAGCATTGTATTCTGTAGCTCCATCTGCGTCACTGTAAGTGGCAAGATTTCTTTAATTTTATGGCTGTATAATATTCCATTGTGTATATATACCACATCTTCTTTATCCATTCATCAACTGATGGACACTTGGACTATTTCCATATCTTGGCTATTATAAATAATTCAGCTATACACATAGGGATGCATGTATCCCTTTGCATTAGCGTTTTGTATCCTTTGGATACATACCTAGTAGTGTGATTGCTGGATCATAAAGTAGTTCTATTTTTAACTTTTTGAGGAGCCTCCACACTGTTTTTCAATTTTCTTTTTTATTTTAAACAGCTTTCCAAGAATATATATAATATCCAATGTGAGGACAAGAAATACTACTTTCCAGATAGTCACCTAGTTTATGGGTCTCAATATCACTTACAAGATTACCTTTATAGTTCTGGAATTGGAGGAATCATTGTAACAAGGATGTTCCTAAACATAGGAACAAGGCTTTCAGGGTTTCCTATCACTTATCTCTGTATCCTTTTGATCATGTACCCCCAAAAGTTACAAAACAAAAGTAAACCTAAAACAAAACACATTGAGCTTGCATCTCTAATACAGGAATATTTATTTATTTGTGAATTGTATGCATATACTACTCAACTACTGTATTATGTACATAACAGCATTGTTTAGTGGTTAAGAAGGTGGAATCTGATGTTAGAGTTGATCTTGCCTTTAGGGATGCCTGGTGGCTCAGTTGTTGAGCATCTGGCTCAGGTAGTGATCCCTGGATCCTGGAATTGAGTCCATATCAGGCTCCCTACAGGAAGCCTGCTTCTCCCTCTGCCTATGTCTCTGCCTCTCTCTGTCTCTCATGAATAAATAAATAAAATCTTAAAGAAAAAAAGAAATCCTGCCTTTATGTGTGAATTGGGCCAGCCACTGAAACATAAACAAAAAAGAAGAAACTTCTCTCATGCTTCAGTGTCTTCTCTTATAAAGTGGAGCAATAATTTTATCTACCTTACTGGATTTATTGTGAGGATTAGATGAATTAATACATTTGATTTGATAACTGCTTCATTATGTTATCTATGAATATAATATTCAAATTTTAGAAATTAAAGAGTGAAATTAAAAATATATATATTAAATTTATAACATTTTCTTCTCCTACCTCAGTGTATAGTCATAATCACTGCCTACTTTGGAGATCACTGATCTAGGTAGTCTTGTGCTAGCAGCTACAGTGATTAAAACATCATCTTTTTAGTTGTAGTAAAAATAAGATCATTTTATTTCATGATATTGAAACTTTTATACCTGATGTCTTTAAATGTTACTGTTAAGATTTAGTACAGTTAAGTAGGTGTTTAACTGTGAGGATATAAAATTACATGAGTTAAATTAAACAAGAACAAATCATGCTGAAAGAAATACAAAGTATTTTGAAAGATTGTGCCATGCTGTCAAATAGAACATTTTGTAATATTAAAGCAAGATAAACAAAATAATTTCTCCTTTATTTTTGAAGACAATAATAACCAAGGATTCATTCATTTGATAAATATTTAATGAATGCCTAATATAGCCAAGCATTGTTCTAGTTGCAAGAGACACGGCAGTGAACAAGACCAAGTCCTTACCAACATGGTGCTTACATTTTTTAAAAGATTATATTCATTCATTCATTCATTATTTCGTTCATGAGATACAAGAGACACAGGCAGAGAGAAGCAGACTCCTTGCAGGGAGCCCTATGTGGGACTTGATCCCAGGACCTTGGGATCACGCCCTGAGCTGAAGGCAAACACTCAATCACTGAGCTGCCCCTGCAGGAGTCCTTGGTGCTTACATTTTGTGGTGAAAACCCCATTATGATTGCAAACTACAGTATCTATTAAACTAAAGTATTATGAAAAACATGTTACTTGGGATGCCTGGGTGGGTCAGTGGGTTAAGTGTCTGCCTTTGGCTCAGGACATGATCTCAGGGCCCTGGAATTGAGCCCCACATCATATTCTCTGCTCAGTGGGAAGTCTGCTTGTCCCTCTCTCTCTCTGCCCCTCATCCCTGCTCATGTTCTCTCTCTCACTCTGCTCTCCCTCCAGATCGTTAAAAAAAAAAAAAAAACAAAAACTAAGATGCTATTTGATGTCAAGGAAAATACTTAATATCACTGAAACATTTTGTATTAATTTAAAATTTTTTGAAAGAGTGAGCAGGGGGTGGAGGGGCAGAGGGAGAATGAGAATAATCTTAAAGTGGGCTCCACTTAGCACGAGCCCTACTTGGGGCTCAGTCTCACAACCCTGAGATCATGACCTGAGCTGAAATCAAGAGTCAGATGTTTAATCAACTGAGCCACCCTAGCTGAAACATTTTAGAGTGATGATCAGATTTCATCCTGAAGTTTATGTGGGAGATTTTTCTGTAATGAGAAAGTATTATCTAAGATTAGATGATTGATTTATCTTGATAGTATTTAGCCCACAATGTTTATTCAGAGACAGATTTTACCTAGAGATAGCATTTCTCAGTTTGATTAACCACATCATTCACTAGATGGTTCCAAATTAATTTTTGCTTATTTTGTGGTAACTGTTTTAAAAAATAATATATCAGCATGAGAAGCTACCAAATACACAAAAGGATATAACTGTCTAAATGTCCGTCCTACGGTCCCTAGTTGTCTTTTCAGAGAAGATGACTCTGGAGTTTCTTTTGATATAAT